TTTAATAAACATAGCAGCTTCAGAGAAACTGCTATGTTTATAATAGGGTTAATCCAGCCTCCAAATCCTCTAGTGGCTGTCTCATTGACTGCCGCTAGAGGCGCTTGCGTGATTCTCACTGTGAAAATCACAGTGAGAAGACACAAGCGTCCATAGGAAAGCTTTGTAAATGCTTTCCTATGAGACCGGCTGAATGCGCTCGCAGCTCTTGCCGCTCGTGCGCATTCAGCTGAAAGGGAGGAGAGGAGGAGGAGAGTTCCCCGCCCGGCGCTGGAATAAAGGTAAGTTTTAACCCATTCCTCTCCCCAGAGTCCGGCGGGAGGGGGACCCTGAGGGTGGGGGCACCATCAGGGCACTATAGTGCCAGGAAAACGAGTATGTTTTCCTGGCACTATAGTGGTCCTTTAAGCTCATCATTTCTTCCTGTCCGCCCGCACCTCCCATGCCCCACCCTTCTGTCAGTCCCTACATTGGCTTCCTATAAAATATAGAGCTCAATTTAAAATTCTGGTTCTTGCTTTCAAATCGCTACATAATGCTGCTCCCACCTATCTATCCTCCCTTATACACAAGTATGTCCCGTCTAGGCCCTTACGATCTGCTGAAGACTTACGTCTATCTTCTGTCCGTACTCCCACCTCTGATGCTCGCCTTCAAGATTTCTCGAGGGCAGCACCGTTCCTGTGGAACTCGCTTCCCTCCTCCGTTAGATGCTCACCCAGTCTCCACTCCTTCAAAAAATCGTTAAAAACCCACTTCTTTATAAAAGCATATCAATTAAACTGTTACTAGCTCCTGACTGATTCCTCTTCTGCAACTGTCATTAGTCTAATACTATCCTTACCTTTTTGTGTAATTTTACCCCACTCCCTCTAGCATGTAAGCTCATTGAGCAGGGCTCTCAACCCCTCTGTTCCTGTGTGTCCAACTTGTCTGGTTACAACTACATGTCTGTTCGTCCACCCATTGCAAAGCGCTGCAGAATTTGACGGCGCTCTATAAATATCATAATAATAATAACTTTGAACATGGCTTATGTCATCCACATGTTTTGAAGGTGCCTTTAATGGTTATTAATGAAAATTTCCATTTAGTATTTTTTTTTTTTTTAAGTCTTTAAAAGTCTACCATGTCTTAAAGCAGTTCTGCCACTTTCAGAGGCTTTACAAAGAACACATAAGGCAATATACCTACTTGATGTGTGGCAGCCATGGATGAAAGGCTAATGGGAGATATACTTACCTGGGTCTCCAATCATCGGCATTTCTATCTACCTTATAGGGACACTGCTTTATTGTCTGGCGTTTCATTCTCTTGGGGCCCATGTTAAAAAACAAATCAGAATTCTATGGAAAATTCTTTGAGACTATGGGATCCTCCATAGAACTTCTCATGATTCTTTTCCAAACTCTGTCACTATCGATAGCTGCTGAGATATTGCAAAAGTTGATAGCAGAAGCTCATATAATGCTCCATCTCTATCAAGCTTTGTCAGCCATAAACCCTACTTGCTTTGATATCTTTTGATGAAATTGTGAACTGTGTTGTCTTATTTTTCAGCAGCTTCTATCTCTTTCTATAGCACCATCTGTACGAATTCCAGTTGTCATGGCAATAATATAAATAGACACATTGACTTTGTCATACTGTCCATGGTTACTTGAAGTAAAAGAGGGATTTGGTTTTCCATTCTGTTACAAAGGGCTTTTATTCTTTTTCAAAGGAGTAACAATTTTTCAACTCTTCAGAGCCATCAAGTCAGTCCTTGTGAAGTTACTGTACAGTCCAAACATTGCCTCTCATTTGACTTTTACTATCACTAGGTGCCTATATCGGCTGGTTTTCTTACATATCTTTTGCGATGAGGTATCCTGCCTTTTTTGACTGTAATTCCAATGTTCAGTTTTGGAACAGGTCCAAGTAACTTTGTGCTTTCACCCATGCAGATGGCAGACGAATATGTCTCAGCATCAGTCCCCTAGCTCAGAAAATTTATCAGATGGTGAAGAAGGAAATACTACTGATCCCTCACATAGTGTGACCCCTGATGTGCTCAGCACCAACACTGATGAGCGCCAAGATGACCGATCCGAGGATCTCGTGTCTCAGAGTTCTGAACCTCCACTGGACCTCTTGACCCAATCTGATGGCCTCTCTGAAAAAGAAGCTGTGGTCCAGAAGGTGAAAACTCAGCTTAGCAACGAGCAAACCGCAGGAGAGGTGAGGTTTGGGTTGAAGTGATTTGTAGAATGTTGTAGTAACCAAACAAATCATACATGTATTTTGAAAATATCATAATTTTTAAAATGTACATCTGTCATTTTTCAAAGTATGCCGTGTTTACTCTGAATTGTCATAATTCTTCTGTAACAAAGTTAATACAAGCCAAGCTCTGCCAGCTAGGTTCCTCTAGATCTTGGGGTTCCTTCTAGATCTCTAGAACTCTTTTTCTTCACATAGAAATGCCCACACATAGGACATCTAATAAATGCACATCAAAAAGAGGGCCTCTTGGGACCGATTCTATATACTCTACCATTCTCTTTGTAATATTAACCTGATTATTGTCTCTTCCACAGAACGTCTGCCTCTACGATGACTCTGACTGCGACAGCACCGAACTTGACCAATCGCTGGCCGCAACAACCTCATGATGCCAGTGCAGAGATACCTCCCTTGTATATAAAGGAAATATTTATATAAATATTATCTATAAATATAATACATAATATGTGAATAGACTGAGCCACACCCATTCCTATGGTCCCAACACATCCAGCGCACACACACACACACACAATCCCCTCACATCTAGCAGAGGATCAAAGTTTAGAAGCACTGGAATGATAGCAAAAAAAATAATTGTTACCTTAAGGCAGCCAGTGTCGAGAAGACAAAATTCTGGCTGCTACAGGGAAATGTTTGCACTGGCCGTAAAGGAGTTAATGGGTATGAAGTGGACTGTTAACCCCTTTCTGAGTAAGTCTACATAACACATTACTGTTTAATCTCATTGTGCAGGGAAAGGTTCATTTTTATAATACAGACAGGGTATTGGAAACCAGTGCAGCTGCTAAGGGCACATGTTACAATATTAACCGTTGCAGAGCTGCAATTAAATGTGCCCCCCTTCATCACGTCTACCGGGGCAGATTTTTGTTCTATATGTTGTTAGGAGGTGCATAGAAACCACAGGGATTTATAATTAATGAAGATCAGGGGTGCCCAGAGGTAGATGCCCAGATGTTATAGAAGTACAACACCCATGATGCTTTGCATGCCGTTAGAATAACAAAGCATCATGGAAGCTGTAGTTTTAATGGGGACCTACCTTTTAGACACCCCTGATGTAGATCCTCTGGCAGAGTGAGAATTGACATACAGCCAGGCAGCACTATTTACGCACCTCCTAACAGTACATTGATCTTAGCTCTGTCAGGGGAAACATGGCCAGGCTGGCTATTCAAGTTACATTTCTCTTGTCCATTTAGAGTGCTAGAAGGGCTTTAACAATGCATTCCGGGTAATGTCCAATTTCTTAATACTGAGGACTGTATATCTATTGTTAAATCAATAATGTAGTATACTACAGGTCTAGCAACACAGCTATTCAGCTTAAGGCCTCAAGGTGTCATGGACTACATCTTCCATAATCCTTCATTCTCAGCGCAGGTTAATCCTATTGCCTATTTATGCAAGCATGTGTTTTGTGGGTTTTTTTGTGTTTTTTTTTTTTTTTTAAATGCATGCTTCAGGGCTGTATTGGATAAACAGAAGCCTGTAAATTGCCATTTTACATTTTGCTGCTTACAGCCCTGATGTATGTGTTTTCTTTTAGGCATTCCAGGATAAATAGGTGATATAGTCATCTTACATCACCTCTGCAAAGGAATATGGGAGGTGTAGTCAAACTGCAGCCGGTGAGCTGCAGTTGAATAGCCCTGTATGTAAAAGAATTTTCATGCAGTCAAAAGCAACTTGTAAGCCATATCTGGGCTACAGTAACTTTGCAGTAATAGTGAGACTTCAACTAAAAAAAGCTAATTATGAAGTATTCCCAAATATATGTGTAAATGTTGTGATTACTTGATACTTAATACTTAGATTCAAATAACATTTTAAGATTACCTCACATTTTGGGCTGTTTGTGATAAAAGAAAATGTCTTTACATTTACTCTCTTGAACACTGGAGAAGAACATTAGCAATTAACATGGAAACAGAGTATGGCATGTAAAATAGGCTAAATTGTTTCAAAGTGACATATACACATATATTTATTATACAATTCTGTCTCAGCAAAATGCTGTCTTAAGAACTTTTTACGAATTTGAAATTTTCTGAGTTTACTGACCCAGACAAGTGACCCGTTTAAACCCGGAATGTTTCCACCTTTGTAAATATTTCCTATAAAATCCCTTCTAACAACCAGGGTGCTAATTATTTTAAGGTGCCCACTACCGAACGCTTTCCCTGCACAAAAATGTAAATATAGCAATCCTTTGAGGTTTGTGTTTGCATGAAAGGGTTTAAAGGAATAATGCTCCTCTATAACCATTCGCAGTGGAGGTCGTTAGGAAATGTATTAATGGTGCTACGCTCTGTAGATCTGGCCTGCATGAAAGGTCCAACTGGAATCCAGAAAATATTTCCATTTTGGGGTTTAAAGAGCACTCTTCTGAACATGTTAAACAGCAGATTCAGTACAAAGTACTGGTTGCACATTGAACCCCTGGATATTGTTGCTTTAAAAAAAAAAGCAGCTGTTAAAATAGAGCAATGTTCTGCAGTTCTTTTTGTGCACAGAACAGGTTATCAGAGCAATTTTCTACAAACGGTTTCAGGGAAGGTGTGTCTCCATATACCCTACAGTGTGCTATGCTATGGCTCAAATTAAAACACACTTGAAAGTGTCCGTAACCTGAGTAAAATATATGTCTTCCCTTTGAAAATGTTATATATATATATATATATACACATGCATATATATATATATATTTATATATATATATATATATATATTTACATCAATCACTCAGCCTTAAAAGTTGTTACAGTGGAACTCCCATCACCCTAAGTCAGACCGCAGTTTGCTACCATTGATGGGAGTTGCAGTTCGACAATGCCTAGAGGGCAATAGGTTGCATGACCCGTCCCTGGAAACAGATCTTAAAGAAAGAGCACACAGTAAATGGTGCAGTTGTCACAACAGCATTGATACCTTGACCCACGGGTGGCTTATGCAGGGTAATTTCGTTTTAGCAGATGCCTTACTTTGATAGGAGCTGCATGAAAGGTAGAATTGTTGTCTGCACATTACGGACTGGGTTGTATTCACTGTGGGAGCATAATCATCACTGGTTGATATTACAACAAACCAGGGTGTGTATATCCATGTTAATATAATCCGTCCGTTTGTGTCTAGTACTAGAATACCCTTAGAAATAATACTCATCAATGTATCTTGTCCTTCTTGTTACTATTCCAAACCTCCCAATACCCACTTATCCTGTTGTAACTAAACAATCTCCCTCTTTCTTGTTTCACTGTAGTATCTATTATGCCTAAACAAACATTGATTGGATATGTTTAGTTAAAATATATTTTCACAGATATAATCCATCTATCAGCTCATCAGATTAAGAAATTACCATACCGGTACAGACTGATGTTCAAGACATGGGAACCCATTGGAAGATAGTGCATGTCTCTTTATTTCCAGAACAGATGCAACTATTGCCATCAACATAGTTTACTTTAACAAATAATCTTCCGTTAAATCTTTAGCTGCCAGAGTAGCATTGCTTGTCTCTCCATTTCGAGACAAGATAAACTGGTGGTTTCAGGGTTAAAAGAATGTGCATTAAGGGAAGCTACAGATTTACAGAATAAGGGGACTTATCTTGCTGATTTACTTATTGGGAGCCCATTTTTCTGGTACATGAAGGTGGGTGTATGCTGTGACTGATTCTCTTGAACGGCTGCCAATTCGATTAACTGCAGAATTAAATTTTGCATTGGAAACCCCTTTCTTTTTTCCAGAGTATAATCCGGCCTCTTTCGTTTAAAAAAACAACCATGATACAATAGCGAGAATTGACATTAAAGATAATGTAGCCTGTTAATTGGATGCCTGCAGCTATATAACTCTGAAGTTATCCAATAAACAGAATGAATCCGTCTTCTGTAACTTTACCATTTTCAGCTAGATAGTTCTCCTTAATCTTTAGGTCATAGTACCCTTTTCCATGAAATAATCAGACCAAAGACTATATATATTTATATTTAACACTATACAAAAGCTGTAGAATAAAAATGAAAGGTTTCAACGCTTGATATATCAGAGTTTTAAAAGATGTTACAAAAATATAGCTGGTCTCATTGTTAGATAGTACATAGATTGATTCAAAAATATGACACCCTTGATTTACTTAACTTTACCACGCTTGAAACATTGACATTGAAACTTTGACAGATTATAGTGTATAATATGGAAAGAATGAATTTTATTTTATTTTTCTTTAGCTGCAAGTCACAAAAGTAAAAGTTATCACTTTTATTAGTACAAATGCACCACCAATCTGTTATACCAAATGGGTAGAGAGGGTCATGAATTCGACCAGTAATAAAACTAAAAATTCGAGCTATAAGCACCAGAGCCATAACTCTTCCCAATTCTAGCTTTTGCAGTGGGGTGCAGTAAGGAACCGAGGCAATGAATTTACTGGTAGTGAGTATTCGGCAACTGCATCTTATATCTTGCTGCCTGTCTGCTGCACCTTGTCTTGCACTAGTCAAACATGTTTTGCTGCTTGAGGAGTTTCCAACAAGTTTATTCCAATTTAAGTAATTGTTACACACTGCCCATACGGCTGACCTGACACCTTTCACTCACAGTGCTATTCCATACCTACCATACTGGTGCATTGTAGTGTGTATGTATTGCGATAATGGCAGGACTTTGGTGCTGCTGGCAACTGACCCTGCACATCACCTATTAAAAACAAACAAAGATTTTGTATTTAAAATAATAAAGGCTCTTGTGTTTTATTTCTATTTATTTTTCTATATTCCCTTTGTGTGTTATACATTCATTTACGTGAAAAATATTTAAAGAGTTTGCGCAGTCAATATTCCTGGAGCTGAATACACTGGAAGATATTTATAAAAATGCTAGTCAGAAAAGTGGGGCATTATTCTAAAAGTGGAAGTCAACAATGGCAACCAATGGAATTAGCAGGAACATTCCTTGGTTTCAATTTTTAGAGCTGTGCCCCACTTACCTTTGGCAACACATTTCTAAATCTCCCTGTTTGTTTTAAAACATATTGATGGGAGGCTTATTGCTACAAGTATGACTGTTTATAAAATTCCAATTGAATTTATTTGTTACAAGAAGGACTATCCGGGTCTTCCAAACATCCATTTTTTCCAATGCCTCCCAATATGTGGTGACTGTTTCTGCTTTGCTTTGATGGATTCCATGACATATGTATTTATTCCATTGACCACTGGGAGATCTTGTGGCATTCTGTGAGACTCTCTTCTCTATAACAGACACGAAATTCTTATTTAAATAAAGACCTTAAAAGGTTCACATTTAGGCCTCCCATGTATGACTTTTAAAGCATTTAATCCTTTCTCATTTCTGTAACAATTTTTCAACGATTACGGTGATTTTAAAAAGATAGAAAAGGGAAAGCTGCTCAGAGTGTGTCATAATTCCAAAATTTCAAATAGACAAAGAAGGACACTTTCATTTTAGGGGTGTTGCCAGGAGTGTGCTGTTCTGAAATATGTTCTATTAACAATTTATGCAACTAAAATTTAAACTGAACCCGTTACACTATAGTCACCAAAACAACTTAATGAAGCAGTAATGGTGTATAGATCATGCCTCTGAAGTCTCACTGCTCAGTTCTCTGTCATTCAGGAGTTAAATTTCTTTTGTTTCTGTTTATGCAGCCCTAGCCATATTTCCCCTGGCTGTAACTTGCACAGCCTGCATTAAAACAAACTGGTTTCATTTTCAATCACATGTTAACTTTACATTTTTTTTATCTACTGCTCTGTAAATTTAACTTTAATCACTTACAGAAGGCTCCTGCAATGTCTAGCAAACTATTAACAGTGCAGAATATGGGAAATTCTAAATCAAACACACTGTGCAATAAAGGAGATATAAACATTAGATGACGCTTTACAGGAAGTGGTTAGGAAGGTTGCGTAAGCCGCATGCATGGAGGTGTGACTAGGGCTGTAAAAACAAAGTGATTTAGCGCCTAAATGACAGAGAATTGAGCAGTGAGACTGCAGGGACGTGATCTATACAGCCAAACTGCTTCAATAAAATAAAGTTGTTTTGGTGACTATAGTGTCCTTTTAACACCTTAAGGACCAAACTTCTGGAATATAAGGGAATCATGACATGTCACGTGTCCTTAAGGGGTTAAATCACTCCCATATACATTGAAAACACCATATATCCCAAAGATACATGGCGTATTCAATGTAAAATATAACGATTTTCTCTGTTTTCCTCTATTCCAGGGCTGCCATCTTCATGCTTAGCAGGTATTACTCTTCACGTAACACCCACCTCCAGACCATCCTCCACTGCTGCTCCGCTCCACCACTGTTCTTCTTTGATTTGCCCTGCTTGGTACACATCCCCAAGCAGGGCAAATCTCATTAGTGACGTCGGCACACTGACTTCGTAGTCAGTAACAGAACAGAGTGACATCACGGCACCCCATTCTGAGCTGATATACTGAGCTGATATCCGGTTGCTACACAATATTCTATCCATCCAGTCTTCTGGCAATACTCTTATTCAGGCCCGCACTGGCCATCGGGCACACCGGGTAAATGCTAATAGAGACCCTCCCTCCGGGGGGCAGCTTCCCATCTGAGGCGGCGAGGGAGCTGTGATCGATCTGCTCTGCTCCCTCGCGCACCGTTTACTGATGCTGGGAGCCGGAATATGACGTCATTCCGGCTCCCAGCATCAGTAGACAGCCTGAGCGGCGCAAGGGAGCAGAGCAGAGAGATCACAGTTCCCTCGCCGCCTCGGATGGGAAGCCGCCCGCCTCACAGCAGCTCCACTGGACCCCAGGGACGGATCCTCGCCAGTTCTCCATGTAGGGAGGCTGGGTGGAAATGTTTTAATTACATTATTAAGTTGTGAGTGTGCATATGTCTGTGAGTATATGTGTGTGTCTGTGAGTGTGTGTATGTGTCTGAGTGTGTATGTGTCTGCGAGCGTGTGTGTGTCTGAGTGTGTTTCTTTGAGTGTAAATGTGAGTGTGTGTCTGTGAGTGTGTGTGTGTATGTCTTTGAGTGTAAATGTGAGTTTATATGTCTGTGTGTGTCTGTTAGTGCATGCGTGTGTCTGTTAATGCATGTGTGTTTGTGTGTGTGTCAAATCAGTGAGAGTCTCTGATTGTGTGATTATCAGTGTGTCTGACAATGAGTGTCAGTGTGTGTGTCAGTGTGCGTGTGTGTCTGTCAATGAATGTATGAGTGTGTCAGTGAATGTGTGTGTGTCAAATCAGTGAGTCTGTGTTTGTCATTGAGTGTATGTGTGTGACTGTAAGTGTGTATCTTCCAATGTGTGTCTGTCATTGTGTGTGTGACTGTCAGTGTGTATCTGCCAGTGTGTGTCTGTCAGTGAATGTGTGTGTCAGAGTGTGTGCTTTTTAAAGGGACACCATGGGATCCCAGACCACTTCAGCTCAGTGAAGTGTTCTTGGTGCAGTATCCCAATTTCTTTAACCCTGCAAGTGTAATTATTGCATTTTCTCAGAAACTGCAATAATTAACTTGAAGGGTTAACTCCACCTATAGTGACTGTCTACCAGACAGCCACTAGAGGGACTTCATGGTGGTTAGGTGACCAAAAGTCGTCTAATTGATGCTGGACATCCTCACACTGTGCATGAGGACATCAGGCGTCTGCTAAATCCCCATTGGAAAGAATTAATACAATGCTTTCCTATGGGGATGCCTAATGCAAGCGCAGAGAAGGAGCTTGATCCAGCGCCGAAGGACATCGGCACTGGATTCAGGTAAGTGACCAAATGGGTTTTAACCCGTTCAGTGCCGAGGGGGCACTATAGGGAACTATAGTGCCAGGAAAACAGCTTTGGTTCTGTGACGGTGTGAGAAGGTATCACCGTCTTGCATATCCTTTTCCCATAAAATAATACGCCAATAATCCACAGGTTCCACTATCGCTGGTGTCGCATAATAACCCACACATGAGCCAAAGCTTAATGCTGGCACAAGACTGGTTTAATGAGAACACAGGCATTCAATGTATACCGTGTATAACGCCTCCTCTGAGCCAGCGAGATAATTGAGTTTAGAGAACCATTGCAACCATTTGCCTTAAAGGAACACTATAGTCTCCTAAACAACTTTAGCCTAATGAAGCAGTTTTAGTGTATAGATCATGCCTCTCAGGTTTCACTGCTCAATTCACTGTCATTTAGGAGTTAAATCACTTTGTTTCTGTTTATGCAGCCCTTGCCACACCTCCCCTGGCTGTGATTGACACAGCCTGCATGAAACAAAACCTGGTTTAACTTTCAGTCAGAATTTACCTTAAACACTTTTATCTCCTGCTCTGTAAATTAAATTTTAATCACATACAGGAGGTTCTTGCAGGGTCTAGCAAACTATTAACATAGCAGGGGATAAGAAAATTTAAATTAAACAGAACTTGCAATAAAGAAAGGATACGTTAGATGACCCTTTACAGGAAGTGTTTAGGAAGGCTGTGCAAGTCACATGCAGGGAGGTGTGACTAGGGTTCATAAACAAAGTGATTTAACTCCTAAATGGCAGAGAATTGGACAGTGAGGCTGCAGGGGCATGATCTATACACCAAAACTGCTTCATTAAGCTAAAGTTGTTTTGGTGACTATAGTGTCTCTTTAATTTCTCATCAATTTCTGTATGTTCTGCACAGCAATGTGGACTATTTTTATCCTAATAAATAAAAGAATAGAATGAAATGAGTGATACTTTATATAATGACCTGTTCACTGCCAGAAATCAGCATTGAGCAATCATGCACGGAGTTAAAATTTCTGTCAGAAGTGCAGTTATCCATGTAAACAAAATTCTCCAAAGCAATTTACTTCAATCTAATTATGTTGCCACCACCATCTAAAGACAAGTGGAAACAACTATAATTACCAGATTAGAATTAATTAGGACCAGAAGAACACAGAATTTTCTTTTTACAATAACAAAAAACATTTGCTGTAAAGATGGTTGAACCTTTACATATTTTTTGCTAATTAACTGAGTTAGAAAAAGAACATTTAATTTATGTTTGGCATTACCTACATAATTAGGTAATTGACTTCCAATGCTATCCAAATATCACAGCATACATCTTTTCATATAGCTTTATGGTATCCATATAGCTAACAGCCATAAAGCAGGTTACAGATTTATTTCAATATCAGTGTCTGATCACCAGGAGAAAACTAGTTTACAAACTGAATACTCAAGATATGTTATGTCACTGCATTCCCCTTAATACATTGCAATATTGTCATCATCTGACTGTGGAGGGGTGGGTTTTGAGTTGAGAGGAGAGAGTGAGACACCTTGGGCGGTATAGACTGCATAGGGCCTAGCGCAGGCATAGGCAACTTTTGGCACTCTAGATGTTTTGGACTACACCTCCCATGATGCTTTGCCAGCATTATGGGTGTAAGAGCATTATGGGAGATGTAGTCCAAAACATCTGGAATGCCGAAGGTTGCCTATCCCTGCCCTAGCGGAACAGAGACTCATCTCTTATCGCTTTTCTTACAGTATTTCCCAACTATTTTAAGTTTCTAAGATCTGTAAATATAGCTACTGTGCAGATATACAAAACAATAATGCATTATTGCACATCTTGTTTAAAGGTTTTCTGATGGCTAAAGTTGATTAATGTAGCCTACATAGGTTCAAGATTATTGGTTTGGAAAGCCAAACATTTGCTTTGTTTGTCTCTTCTGGGTATGTCAAGACTCCATTTAATATTTTTTTTTTAGATATGCACAGTCATTCTACAAACTGAAACGAACACTATAGGGTCAGGAACACAAACATCTATTCCTGAACCTATAGTCTTAAAAACACCATCTATTCCCCCCCCCCTCACTCCCCAATGCCCCTCTAAATATAGTAAAATCTTACCTTTTTTCCAGTCTGCTGGTGCTGTCTCTGCCTCTGATTTGCCTCCCTGGCTGACACCATCAAAAGTTGTGATCTCATCCAGTTACAATGTTTTCCCATAGGAAATGTATGATAAGTTCTTTTATTTATTATTTTAGGACATGCTCATTTTTGATTATGTATGTCTATATAAAATGTCCATATATAAGTTATGTGTGCCCTTTTCCTACAATATACATTTAAAATGGACAGTTGATTAAATTCCGTTTCTCTCTAGTAAACAGAACTAGTTCCTGTTTGTGCCTATCGATAGGCATTCTAAAATGGCGCTGAAACACAAGAAGCTGAAACCATGCAATCATGTGATCGTGGAAGTGATTTAACGTCGGTGGAACGCATTCCTGCGTTCCGAGAAAGGAACATATTTATACATAATGATATAGAAAATTTATGATGGATAAATCATCCCAGAGATAACCAGAGGCTCCTAATTAGGTGTTCAAGCACTTAGGAGAACTGATAATAAAACCACAGACTCACTTCGTTTGTAGTTCAAAATCATCTTCTCAATCTTTAATGGGAAAGCATCATATATAAAATGGCAATTAGTCTTCTGCACATGTGTGCGTAAAAAATAAGAAACAATCTAAACTATGCAAGGTTAAAGCAAACGTAACATTTCATGAGAAACAGAAAAACCATCTGCAAAAACTGCTGACAAAACTATTTCGCTTTCTAACCCCTGCAGACGTGGAAGAATTTAACTAAAGCTGAGGCTGCAACCCTTTATGTACCTTTTATTTATGATCAGCTGGAATCAGAAGGAGGAGCCCAGGAAGACATCTAAAGTGGAGGAGTCTCAACCAATAAAGAGAAGTTTATGGAAAATGTCCACTGGGCCACCAAAGGACTCTGGGAGTTAGCCCTATATAAGGACAGGGGAGGGTTTGTTTCACAACTTCTTGTGAGTGTACATCTACGGTGCAAAGTCCATTTATATTCTGACATACTTCACTAAGTACTATTTGTTTATCCCCACTTTAGATGCATAGCTGAATCTCAAATTTCTGTCTATGCATTTTCCCACAGGAAAGCATAGGATTGGCTGAGACTGTCAAAGAGGCAGATCAGGGGCAAAGCCAGCACAAGCCAAACACAGCCCTGGGCAATCAGCATCTCCTCATAGAGATGCATTGAATAAATGCATTTTTATGAGGAAATTTCACTATCCCCATGCAGAGGGTGAATACACTGAATGTATTCTGACCCAGGAAGCACCTCTAGTAGCCATCTAGTAGCCATTAAGCTGTAGTTACTATAGTGTCCCTTTAAGAAAGTACAAATGGTTTAGCGTATTGAGTTAACATTTCTTTTGAAAGGCTAAAATTGGGTATTCTGGCCTGTAGGAGACCTGGATTAACAGTAAAGATACATGAAAACACGCTCAGTCTGACTCTACAAGGTGGGTCAAGAGATGTAGTATCTCCTCATGATATAAAAGGCACAGTTTATAAACTAATCTATTAAAAAGGTGGTCATATTGCTGTGGGAAAATATTCTATTTCCATTAGATATAGTATTGTTTATAGTGAACACCATCCAAGCTGACAATCCATCACTATCCTCGGAAATTAAAATTATCAGTATTAAAGAGTGACTGGTCTTGGGGGTGGAGCCTGACCATCGAGGAAGATGGCCGCACATTAGAGAGGCTCCATGACAGCAAGCAGACAAAAAGCTGACATTAGCAGCAACTACACTCTCCACAGAACCAAAAAAACATCCAAACAACGCAGATCCCCCCAAGAACAGACTACTATGGGAGGTGGACGAAAATCTAAATCTGGCACAACCGTGGCCCCAATCTTTAAAAATAGAATGGACAGAGACGTGACACGTGCGGCTAGTCAGCAGGCCTCAGAGTCAGACTCGGACGCCAGCACAACCAGCCGACGTACAGACTCCCCGGCTCTCACAAAGAAAGACCTAAAAGAAATGCTAATGGAAATGAAATCTCTGGTGGCATCAGAACTCACCAAGCATCTTGCTCCGATCAAAGAGGGCCTGTCAGATCTCACCAAACGCATGCACGTGCTTAAAGACAGGATGGATGAAGTACACACTATCACCTCAACACACGAAACCACCATCAGAGACCTAAAAGAACAACTGATGTGCTTGGAGGAAGCCCAAGAAGACCTGAACAACAGGTCCAGGAGGAACAACATCCGCATAAGAGGTCTCCCGGAATCAGCTTATCCAGAAACACTTACCTCCATGCTCCACGAAGCGTTCAGCGGCCTCCTCCCTGACGCCCCACCAGCGGACCTCCTCCTAGATAGGGCACACAGAGCCCTCAGTCCTTCATCAATGAATCCCTCACAACCCAGAGACATTATAATTTGATGTCACTACTTCCACGTGAAGGAAGCTATAGTGCGTGCAACAAGGGAGACCACGCTGCAAATTGATGGCCACACGGTCCAACTGTTTCACAACCTAGCACCCACTACACTGCGCAAAAGAAGAGAGCTAAGGCCTCTAACTCATGCCCTACAGGACCGGAGGATCCACTACTCATGGGTCCACCCATTTAAACTAGTGGTACGACACGAGAACCGTACCTACACACTGCAACAACCCTCAGAGGCGCACAACCTAGCTGCACAACTGGGCATCCACGACCTGAACATGGAAATCCCATCTGCGTCCCAGCGCACCGCACCTTCCCGCCATAGCAGGGACCAACTACCCCCAAGAGATCATGGGCGCCACAGAAACCATCGCCCTGCTCAACCTCACCTCGCTTAGACAGAAGACCCACACTCTCCTCGCGCTTCTGCCATCTACTTGGTGCGGACCCAGCGTGGATCCAACCCCACCGACTTTCCAACACCAATCATAGAGGATAACCCATACTGGACTCCCATGACACCCAAAGTCACAAAGGCCACCGCACACAGACTGGGGGACATCGGAGGGCCACACCCGGCGCACTCCCCACATACTCCCAACCTTCCTCTTAAATAGAAGACAAGCAGCAGATAGACACCTCCGCCGTGGACATCTGAGCATCCCCCAGATGCTCCAGAGAGCGAACCTCCCCTGCAAGGAGAGCTGAGCCCCCCTTGAAAGGCTCCCAACCCCACCACGACAAAAGCACTTTCACCAGACCGAGGTACGATCACATACACCACACTGGACTTTCTCGGAATACCCCTGAAAGACTTCACCACCCCTCAACACTCGGAACCTTACCTAACAAGAAACCCCTGCCCATCATCACGGCGGAAATTATGCCCTGGGCAATCTGCTGTAACCCACCAAACTGATGAATGCTTAATCCTGAACTTGACCAAGCACAAGGACTCTACCCTCCCTACAAAGGACTCTCGTAAGATAACAAACACTAGGGGGGGGATGATGGGTGGGGAGGGGTGGGGACCTTGCGGCCTTCCCCTCCCCCCTTCTTCCGCGGGAATGGGTGGAGCGGCAGGCCATGAAGGCCTTGGGAGCGGGGACATTTCATTGCACTTATTTGATGTGATGCACAAAATAACCGTTAACTTTGGCGCCTCCGGGGCCTGGTCGGACGGGCCGGCGTGCGACGACGACCCCAACAAAGAAAAACACAATAGCACATAGTGAAAACAGGCCACAAGGCACATCTCCACAGAACTGCCATAGCCATATATGGGACACATAGACCCCTCCGAGGGCTAAACCTTGGCTTAACAATAAAAGGCTTGGGCATCACTCCTCCCCTTCCTGCCCGCCATGATATGTAAAGAAACAAACCCTGCCTACAGACACCCCACTCCAACTATTGGCGGAGTGCTGGGACGCTTATAAGAACACAAAAAAAGCACACATATCTCCATTTTTTATATTTATCTATTCATACTTACGTTAATATTTACCACTGTATTGTTGCCTTTCTGACTGTACCTGCTATATGTATATATCCAAAAACAAAGACACGCAACAAAACCCCAAAACCCAACTGAGTAACTCATCCCGTCTGTGTTTGGGGCGGTGGCCTCGCAACCCAACACCACCCAGCCAAGCCAATGCTCCCAGACCCGAACAGCTGTGTGCCCCCCACTCCCCACCCAGGCATGAGCACTGCGGCCCCCCGCCTCTAGGGTACCTACCCATCAGCCTAAGCTCTCCCAACCTGTAAGAAGAGAACTACTATCTGAAACCAAACATCTGCTTAACAATATATACCTGCAGAACCCAAACATATCACCAAATTGACTGATTCCGACAGGGTCAGTCCCCAAAATAATGGCCCCCCAACTCAACTGGCACACCCATCAAGATGCGCACCCGCATCCCCTAACCACCTAGGCAGAACGCGACACATCACAAAGAGTGACAACTTGTACATAGTTCAGACGAAACTCCCATGCCTTCCCCCCAGGGGTGACCCCGTGGCCCCATCATGCCCCGTCCCTCAGGCTGGGGCGGGGCGCGGGGGCACTGGGGAAACACCATCCCACCAATCGCATCCCAGACCCCAGTTAAACAGGGTCTGTAATCGGCAAACACGCCCACTCCCTACAGCCCTCCTGCTTGCTCGCCACTCTCTGGCGGCTGATCACTCCTGCCCACCAACTCTGTTTCTTGCCACTGGCCCCTGACCCGAAAGGCTCGGAGACCGCTGGCAACACAGACTACCTTTGCTGGCACCTGAAATAAGACCAACACCCACCTCCTCTACCCAACCCACAGCCCATCCTCGCTGCCCTCTGGGATCCTCCGGACCTCTCTTCCCCCCCATTCCACCTTAACAACCACCTTACCCCCACCTCACACCACAACACACAGCCATACAACCCCAGGCAATGCCACTCAAACTACATTGCATCTCAATAAACGCTAAAGGCCTCAACAACCCCAAGAAATGCCACTCCATACTACGCAGGGCCCACAACCAGAAAGCAGATATCCTCTTGATCCAAGAAACCCACTTTACCTCTCATAAGCACTTCCCACTCAAGAGTAAACACTACAACCGCTCCTTTTCAGCACACTCACCGGACACGAAAAACAAAAAAAAGGGAGTAGCAATAGTACTCAAATCCTCCAGCCCCCTCTCTGACATACAGTCATTTCCAGACAAATCAGGGAGATTCCTGATGACCACAGGCAAAATCGGCCCCACAACCTACTCAATCACCTCCCTATATGCACCCACAACCCCAGACCAGACAGTCTGGCCCACAATCTCTACTCATCTAGCAACACACCGCACAACATTCATCATAATAGGCGGCGATTGCAACGCAACCAACACGCCAATACTAGACCGCTCCGCTAGACCCACTGGAGGAACCAGACCCTTTACTAACGACACCCTCTTTTCCCATTTCCTGAACACACATAACCTCCTGGACATCTGGAGGGCTCAACACCCCTCGACCCTCGACTACACATTCTATTCCCACCCCCACAACTCTTACTCCCGTATTGACTACTTCCTAATTTCCCCCAACCTCACCACCAGAGTCACACACACCTCCATAGGCAACATCACATGGTCGGACCACGCAGACATATCCCTAACCCTCTCAATCCCCAAGATGACCAGACCATGGACCTGGAAACTAAACCCGCAACCCACACGACAAACTAGTGACTACAACCCTTACAAAAGACCTAACCCTGTACGAACCCTCGGTCGCCTCACCGATCACCCTTTGGGCCACCCATAAACCCGTTATCAGAGGTAAACTCATAGCCATAGCAACAGCCCATAAAAAAAAACACAACAGGCGGCTAATAGAAACAATAACTGAAATTGGCCGCCTAGAAAATCTCCACTAAAAAAAACCCACACCTCAACACCTAGAACAACTCACAGCAGTTAGAGCTCTACTCAAAAGCCTTTCCCTCTCAGCAACCACTAAAGCACTCACATGGACAAAACAAAAATACTATGAAAAAAGCAACAAGGCAGACTCTGTTAGCTAAGAAACTCAAAACCCTGACTGAAACAAAACAAATCTCTAAAATCCGCACTTCAGATGGCACAATCAGCGAAATCCCTCATAAGATAGGCGAAACCTTTCAGCAATACCTCATAAAACTATACAATCACGATCCCCCCTCCAAACTCATCAACTCAGACCAAGTAGGCTTCATCCCACACAGACAAGCACCAGACAACACAAGAAGAACAATAGACCTAATATGGTACGCCAACCACAGACGCCTCCCAACAATAATACTCTCCCTGGACGCAGAGAAGGCGTTTGACTGCCTCCTCTGGCCATACCTCTTCAAAATCCTCAACAAGTTCGGATTCCCATCCGAACTTCTCCAATTTTTACAAGCAATATACCACAAACCCACCGTTCAACTACTAATTCCCAACACAACCCCGCCCCCCTCCTTCCCAATCCTAAACGGCACACGTCAAGGGTGCCCTCTCTCCCCTCTCTTATTCGCCCTATCCCTGGAGCCCCTTCTAGAGACCATACGAAAGAACCCACTTATAGAAGGGTTACAGGTCAGGGGCGAAACATTCAAAGTCGCAGCATACGCAGACGACATACTACTAACCTTAACCAACCCCGAACCGTCCATAACAGCTCTCCTGACGACACTACAAGAATACTCAACAATATCGGGATACCTCCTTAATGCAACCAAATCTGACTTATTACCCCTCAACCTCCCCGACAACGCCCTAAAAAGCAAAATCCCCTTCCACATCAACCCAACAGCCATCACATACCTAGGCATTCAACTCACCAACGACACTGCCTCCCTATACACGGCCAACTACCCCCCCCCCCATTTCGTAAAGCACACAAAGACCTCCAACGCTGGAAAACCATGAACATCTCCTGGCTAGGGAGAGTGGCCTCTATAAAAATTAACCTCCTCCCCAAATTCTTATACACTTTCCAAGCTTTACCCATTCCCTGCAAGAAAACTGACACCTACAGACTGCTATAGATCAATTTATATGGAATGGCCGAAAACCCCGGGTACGACGCTCAACCCTATATGTACCCAAGCCCCCAGGTGGCCTGGGCCTTCCCAACTTTTTGCTTTACCAACACGCCGCCCACCTAACACAAATCCAATACTGGCACCTCCCTCCAACTCACAAACGATGGGTGGACCTAGAGCACCTAATTTTTGGCAGAGACCATCCCTCCCAATATATGTGGCTCCCCAAACAGCACAGACCACTGCCACCCCCCAACTCACCTCACCTGCCATCACCTACTCCGTAGACCTCTGGGAGCGACTCAGCAACAAATTCGACCTATCCACAGGTCTCTCACCGCTCACCACTATCCTTCGCAACAAGCTATTCCCACCAGGCCTAAACCCACAACACTACGCACACTATGAGGAAAGAGACATAGTCAGGCTAGGACATCTGTACCCCAACGGGAAACTGCTACAATACACTGAAATCCCCAACTCTGACACCCTAACCTCCTTTGACCATTTCCAATTCCTCCAACTCCGCAGCTTCGCCACGTCAGACACAATCCGCTTGGCAGCTACCTCACCTCTCAAACGGGACTGCCTTAGAACTCCATCTCGAAAAAGCCAGATATCCAATCTATACATAACACTAACCACACACCACTCCCAAGTCATTCTGCCATACATCTCAGCCTGGGAAAAGGACCTTGGACCCCCCGACGACCCCACTGACATCAATCAAATCAATATCGATCTGTGTCACCCATAAAGAACAAGCATACAAAATGTTTTTCAGATGGTACCTCACCCCCCTATGCCTCACGGTAATTAAACGCACTTCCTCTAACTTCTGCTGGAAACAATGCGGTGAAACCGGCACCTTTCTCCACTGCTGGTGGACCTGCCCGAAGCTAGTCCCCCTATGGAAAACCATAACGTCCCTCCTAACCAGACTTCTAAACAGACTAGTCCCCCTAGACCCCTGGGCTCTCCTACTTTCAAAATCCATTGAACCCTTCACCACAACGAAAACAAACTCATCGCCCGAATAGCCCTAGCCACTCGCAGGGTGATAGCCGAAACATGGTCCATCCCACACAAACCCACACACACACAGATCCACCACAAAATATTGGACTGTATTGACATGGACAAGCTAACGGCACAAACGCATGACACACCGAACTCCTTCCATAAAATTTGGGACCCTTGGATAGAAGAACATTCCTCCCTACCGTGGTAACACTACAACAATCCCGCGCCACCGCAACCACAACTCCCAGAACAAACCCACACAACAAAGTCCACATACCCCCTCCCCATCCACCCCCCCTCCCGAGAGATGGAGGATCCCATGGGGGCAGCGACAACAACCCCCCCCTCCAATGTACCTCCCTCCCCAATCCCTCCCATTTGCATTTGCCCATAACAAAATGATATAATGGAAAAGTATAATTTAATTTGGGCAGGAAGTTCTCTTGATTATTTAGGTATCAAAATAATGGCAGATCCAGAGAGAATTATAGAAGCACATTTTCTTCTGCTATTAAAATTAGATATCTCTTGGACTGTCAGGATTAATACAATAAGGGCATATTACTGGCTTAAAATGATTCAAACTGATTTCAATAGCTTTATCTGGGTAAAGAAAAAACTAGAATTAGCTTACAGTACTTATCTGATTATATTAACAGGGGAGGTTTGGTAGTCCCAAACATGAGTGATCATCATCACGCATGTACACTGACTCATGTTTTAAGATGTCAATATACAAATAATACATAATACTGTATACCAAATCAAATCAGGTCATTTGGAGATACCTACCATTTTGCCCCTTTTTTTGACCCGTTCAGGTTACAAACTATAAAGACTTTAGGGAGAAATCTATTGTGATAAACAATAATTTACGGCACTTTTGGAACTCAGCTAAATGTAAGCTCAAAATACAAGAAAGGGTACGGATTTACCTACCGCTGCAAATAGTTATGACTAATGTACAAGACCTGAACATAAATCATTGGGAAACCATGGGTATAGAAATACTAAAAGACCTCCTTGTAGATAGACATACTAAATCCTTTAACAAATTGCAAGAAGATTTCTCACTCTCTAATAAAGATATATTTTTTCTTATCTTCAAGTTAAACATTTTCTCAATAGACACTTAGAAATCTAAATTTCAAATTTAATAGATCTTTTGATAAATGTCTGACACAAATATCGTTTACATTAATAATTTCAAAGTCTAGACAGTTTATTTTATCCCCTAAACCAAAGAAAAACAGGAGTATCTACCAAACATAAGAATATAATTAATATAAAGCTATCTCCGAGGCAGACATACATAAATCAATTAGGAATGTTACTTCCTGGGTACACTAAGTATCACAGAAAATGTTTATGAAGTGGAGGGTATTTAACTCCAAGTAAGTTAGCCAAAATGTATTCCCCATGGGATTCATTCTGCTGGAGATGTGGCCAACCTGGGTCCGATTATAAACATATTTGGTAGAATTGCACTATAATTAAAGGGACACTATAGTCATCTGAACAACTTTAGCTTAATGAAGCAGTTTTGGTGTATAGAACATGCCCCTGCAGCCTCAATCCTCTGCCATTTAGGAATTAAATCCCTTTGTTTATGAACCCTAGTCACACATCCCTGCATGTGACTTGCACAGCCTTCCATAAACACTTCCTGTAAAGAGAGCCCTATTTAGGCTTTCTTTATTGCAAGTTCTGTTTAATTAAGATTTTCTTATCCCCTGCTGTGTGATTAAAGTTCAATTTAGAGATTGAGATACAATTATTTAAAGTAAATTACATCTGTTTGAAAGTGAAACCAGTTTTTTTTTCATGCAGGCTCTGTCAGTCATAGCCAGGGGAGGTGTGCATAAACAGAAACAAAGTGATTTAACTCCTAAATGACAGTGAATAGAGCAGTGAAATTGCAGGGGAATGATCTATACACTAAAACTGCTTTATTTAGCTAAAGTAATTTAGGTGACTATAGTGTTCCTTTAAGAAATTCTGGGATACAGTCCATAGACGATTAAGAAGACTTGGCTTGTACCCCATCATCTTCTCCCCAGAAGCTTACTACATATAGGTTGCCACAGATGCCAAAAGAAGATAGATATTTAGCCACTTATGTTCAGTTCTATCCACACTGATAATAGCTCAGGACTGGAAGAAACCTATACTCTATTATTATTATGTTATTTATATAGCGCCATCAAATTCCGCAGCGCTTTACAATGGGTGGACGAACAGACATGTAGTTGTAACCAGACAAGTTGGACACACAGGAACAGAGGGGTTGAGGGCCCTGCTCAATGAGCTTACATGCTAGAGGGAGTGGGGTAAAATGATACAAAAAGGTAAGGATAGTATTAGACTAGTGACATTTGCTGAAGAGGAATCAGTCGGGAGCTATTAACAGTTTAATTGATACGCTTTTATGAAGAAGTGGGTCTTCAACGATTTTTTGAAGGAGTGGAGACTGTGTGAGCATCTAACAGAGGAGGGAAGCGACTTCCACAGGAACGGTGCAGCCCTCGGGAAATCTTGAAAGGCGAGCATCAGAGGAGGGAGTACGGGCAGAAGATAGACGTAAGTCTTCAGCAGATCGTAAGGGCCTAGACGGGACATACTTGTGTATAAGGGAGGAACCCCAGATTGAAATAAGGTCAGTGTAAGATGGAATGTAATTTAAGTAGAAATAATCAAAATAATACTGATAATTATACTATTTGTGGAGATATATTGAAGAGGATTGACCTATTATTATTCTCTGGTGTTTTGATTTAAAATTGGGATTCTGTTATTCTATGTATTTTTAAAAAAAAATGTTTATGGCTAGAACCAAGAATCCCCAATAAAAGAATGGAGTTGCATACAATATCTAAAATATTTGTGTATCCTAAATATGATGCTTACTTGCCGTTGTCTTATTGTATTTTTTACTTCATATTTTCTGTTTGTCTAAAGGATATTAAAATAAAGAATTATTTAAACAAGAGTTCATGTTACCAAACACAGCTATGTTCTCTTACCTCCAAATACGAGCGTGGCTTCTAAAACACTACATTCCAGCGACAAAACTTGTAAATGGGCAGCAGCTGATGAGCTTTGAGAGGATAATAATGAAATTAACCCCGGCAAAGAAAACTATATCCCTGGTATATGAATGTCTAAACATAGGCCAGTCAACCAAACACCTGACTTACGACCGGGCGTGGGAGAAAGAACTAGGCAAAGCACTATCTGAAGAAACATGGAAAACACTATTTGGGGCCCCTAGAAAACTAACCCTATGCTCCAATCACGTAGAAATAGCCAGAAAACTACTATATAGGTGGTACTTAGTACCAAAGAGACTCCACCATATAAACCCTAAAGTGCCCAACAAATGCTGGAGATGCCCTGACGGCTCAGGCGACATGCTCCACATATGGTGGGAATGCCCGCCTGTGGCACAATACTGGCTACAAGTGGCACAGCTGGTAAGAAACACAACTGGTATACACCTTCCACATAACCCAGATACCTACTTGCTGCATAACTACCCAGGGGGGCTGCCGAAGGCACTACGCTACTTAATATTTCAAATTAACATAGCGGCCAAGACAGTGATTAACAGGAAATGGGGAACAGACAACACCCCTGCTCTGGCGGAATGCATTCACCTGGTGGAAGAAAACAAAACCTCAGAAAAAGCAGCCAGACTAGCAGCGCACCAAAAAAACAAAATTTGGAAGATAGCATGGGACACATGGTAAAAAGCCATTGAGATAAACAAACCACTGTAGAGAATCTCAGAAGCCTCGACAGCCGCACAAACAAGGGTCTGTATGATTGAAAGGGGAAAACTGACCAAAGACAGTAACCACGAGCCCGAATAGCAATAGCAACTGATACTATAAGAATGAGGGATTCCCTGGTATGTTCAGAGAAAGCGATATAAACAACAGGCAATCTAACAACTCCTCAAAGTATCCATCTATTTCTGTATTGAAACGTGCGTAACTCGATCCTTATCTCTATTCCCCCCCACCCACTCTATGCTTATGTTTATCATTATCTGCACCCCCATCCGACTCCTTTTCTCTATAGCGCTTAAAACCAAGGTTCACATTCCAAAGCCTTTATTGTTACAACAATGTACAAATAGTTCAAAATATGTTTAAAACAACTGTATACAAATTGTTACTGCGAGTTACAGATGTATAACAATGCAATCTTTTGAATATGTATGTATGAACTGAAATTTCATAATAAAAAAAAATAAAGAATTATAAACAGTGACATCACAGACAGTAACCAATGACATCTCATGTCTAAAAGGTCCTCTTTTTGCCTCTCCTCAGAGTGTCAATCAAGGTACTGCCTTTTATTATTCCTCTCCATAAGTGTCATATTTCTTACTATTATTTGCTTCTTGCATACATTTTGTTATTTCCTTTAACTTGTTTTTTGTTTATTGCTATACTACTCTCCTGTAATAGTTTATTTTATTCATCTTAATTTCCTCAGCTTCCCTCTCTGTCATTTTCAGTGCCTTTTTGTGCATTGGTTTGCTTTTATTTTGTTTTGTGAGCCTCTTTGTTCTCGTAACTAGCAGTAGCGCTACAGAACAATCATTCGTTGTGTCAATGCTGTTCACTGGCGCAGTTAACATTGTAATGCTGTTCACCACCATTTTATTGCAGCCCAATAGCTGTTCATTATCCTAGGAGCCTCTTAAGACTTGTTTTGATTGAACGAGCACGTAAATCACCTCAGGACATAGTGTATTGCTAGGCTGTGGGTGTTGTAGAGTCTCTACCTGACAGAAGTTTGTTTAGTTAGCACTTCCAATTTTAAGCTCGTTGGGCTTTTGTCGGCTCCATTTGGACATATTTTCTGTCAGAATTAAATTTGATCTTTTAATTTCCTGGGTTCTTTTCCCCAACTAATTTGAACTCCTTTATTTTGCTATGCCAAAGGTTAGAATAAGCAGTTCAGCTCAACGCTGCTGGAGGAAGTTCGGCACCACACTTTTTTTAAATTCTATCTTTATTTATTTTGCGTTCGTACAGCGCAACCCTCACTCTTGCTGAACAGTTGTACTTTTCCTCTCTCATTAGTTCATACTCTTGCAATCCCAGGACATTGTTTGATACCTTAAACACTCTTCTTCACCCTGTGGCCACTCCCCAAACTAACTTTTCAGCCAACAGCTTTGCATGCTATTTTACAGACAAGATTGACCAGTTAAGGAAATAATTCATCCCCCTTTCGCTCCTCTCTCTCTCTCAAACACACTTGGACCATGCCTTTCCTACCATTCAGGCATTCACCCTGGCTACGGAACAGGAGGTGGCTGCGCTTCCACTTTCCTCTTGCCACACTAATTGTCCGCTTGATCCCGTCCTGTCTCATTTTATCAGATCTCTTTCCCCTTATACTGTCCCTAATGCACATCTTCTACTGCTCTCTTTCTTCTGGAATCCCCACCCCCCTAACCGACCCACTTTAAGCATACTACCATCATACCTGTCTTTAAAAAGCCATCTCTTGATCCATCTTCTTTCCTTTCCAACTATCGGCCTATATCTCTAAGCTCATAATCCTCCCGGCTTCTGAAACTTTCTCAATTTAAACTCTGTCTTCGACCCTCTTCAATTTGGCTTCCGCCCCATTCACTCTACGGCGACAGCTTTGATTAAAGTAACTAATCAAAGAGCAGCTTAATCCAAGGGCCACTACTTAAGAGAAATACATCTTGACCACTCTGCTGCCTTTAACACGGTTGATCATGTCCTTTTTCTTGAAACTCTACAATCCCTCACTCCTTGTGACACTGTAATCTTGAGGTTCATCTCTCCCAAGTTTCCTGCAGTGTCTCCTTTTCTAATAACACCTCATCCTATCTCGGTTAGAGTCCCCTTTTGTTGTCTCTTTATACTGCCTCTCTTGGCAAACTTAATTCCTTCGGACTCCGCTAACACCTGTATGCCAATGACGCCCAGATATATTTCTCCTGCGCGGTTCTAGAATGAGTCACCACGTGTCTTTATTGCATCTCTGCCTGGATATCCTCCTGCTTTCTGAAACTCAATCTCTCTAAATATGAGCTTTTTATTTTTCCTCCTGATAATACTAATCCACTTTAGCTCTCCCTGCAAATTGATGATCCCCGCATCAGCCATTCCCGGTAAGCTGCCTTGGTAACTTTTATTCTGGCCTCACGTCAAGGCTGTTGCTAGAAACTGCCGATTACACCTTAAACACATTGCCCATGTCTGCCCCTTTCTTACGCAACATGCCAAGAAGCTTGTTCATGCTCTAGTAATTTCTTGCATTGCTTAATGTAATTCTCTAATTGGTCTCCCCAGAAACTATACTGCCTTACTACAGTCCATAAGGAATGCTGGCGTCATGCTGATTTTTCTCACATCAATCCTTACACATTAACTTCCTGTGTCCTATAGGAGTCAATTCAAAATACTAATCCTTACCTATAAAGCTCTAAACATTAGCCTCTTCCATTTCTTCACGAATTCGTAGGTACGTCCCTTCTCGTTCTCTCTGCTAGGACGATTACCTTCTTTTGTCTGCTGCTCGCAGCCTTACTGCTCACACTTGCAGGACTACTGAAGACCAGCCTGCCTATCCCCAAAAGACTCCCACCTAATCTTTACTCTCAGGCCCACACTTTACTCTTACTTTTCAGTTCTGCCACCACTCACCTTGTTGTTTGGTGGCTATCTGCCTTGAAGTCCTTCCTGTTGTGTTTCTATACACTATCTCTTCTAGATTCTGAGCTAATTTCAGAAGGGTCCTTTTCCTGCAACATTTTGTAATTGTCTCATTTATTGTTAAATGTCTCCCTTTTTTTATATTGTAAAGCGCTGCAGAATAAGTTACCACTATATAAATGCAAATAATATTGTGACATATTTGCTACAAAGGGGGCACTGTCCTTTGGACAAAATGTCCTGGGGTTAAGTTACGGGCTGGATGCACTCAGTTCTAGGGAAAGTGTGTGAAACTCCTGAAGTGGATCTTAAATGGATTAAAGGGTAACTCCAACCACTTCTGCTTATTGAAGGAAGCATGGTGGTAGGAATCAACCTTGAAACACTGCAGATCCAGAGTGGTGTTTTTTGTTTTTAATAATGCTCTGGGGGAAAGTTGTACCCCCAGCACATGTGAACTTTACATCTGTTTTGGGTTGTTTTTTTGTTTTTTTTTTTATTATAAAAGTTATCCCTCTCATTTTTAGGATATTGCATTTGAGTTAATTGCCCTCCCTGTTAAACATAGAATGTGACAGAAGATAAGAACAATTCGGCCAATCTAGTCTGCCCAATGTTCTAAATGCTTTCATTAGTCCCTGGCCTCATCTTATAGTTAGGATAGCCTTATGCCTATCCCAAGCATGCTTAAACACCCTCTCTGTGTTAACCTCTACTACTTCAGCAGGAAGGCTATTCCATGCATCCACTACCCTCAATAAAGTAATACTTCCTGATATTTCTAAGCCTTTTCCCCTCTAATTTAAGACTATATCCTCTTGTTGTGGAAGGTTTTTCTTCTTTTAAATATAGTCTCCTCCTTTACTGTGTTGATTCCCTTTTTATTTTAAATGTTTCTATCATATCCCCCTGTCTCGCCTTTCCTCCAAGCTATACATGTTAAGATCCTTTAACCTTTCCTTGTAAGTTTTATCCTGCAATCCATGAACCAGTTTAGTAGCCCTTCTCTGAACTCTTTCTAGAGTACTGGAGAAAGGGTCTCCAGTACTGTGTACAATACTCCATCAAATACTGTTGATTGTGTGTTTGTTCTTTTTCTACTTTTGCATTGAATTAGCCCTGATGAAGAATGATATAATATGGATTCCTTTCTGTTCCATTTGCTGTTGAATTTCAACCTATAGTTCATTTACACATTAAGAGAACTTTTAGAACGTCCAGTGCCTTTTACAACATGGCATGAGATGCGATTGTTACCTACCGTAGTCTATCGCTACTGCCTTCCTTGGTAAACTTAGCAGTTCCTATGGCTTCAGTGATCATTTATATGCGGATAACACGCAAATCTACCTGTCCTCTCGTGTCAGACTGCCTCTCCGCTATTTCAAACTGGATGGCTGCTCATTTCCCTAAACTCAACCTGTCCAAAACAGAATCTCTGGTCTTTCATCCCTCAAGTGGTGTGTTGCTACTGCCTTGTCAGTCATCTTCTAAGTCAACAAAGCTACCATCACCTCTACCTCACAGGCTCGCTGCCCAGCTGTTCTCTTTGACTCTGACCTCTCCTTCACTCCTCGTATCCAGTCGATAGTCAAATTCTGCTACTTTCATCTCAAAAAACATAACATTCACACGTCCCTGTTTAACACCAGAAGCATCTAAGGTGCTGGTCCATGCCGTTCTATCACCTTGACTACTGAAATCCCCTTCACAGTGGGGGAGGCCCCTTACGTGTTCCCATCTTACACCATTGCAATCCCACCCTAACCCCTTCAGTCAATCCCTACATTGGCTCCCAGTAAGAAATAGGGCTCAATTTAAGATTCTGGTGCATGCATACAAGTCTCTATATAATGCTGCTCCTACCTTTCCCCCAATACACAAGTATGTCCTGTCTACGCACCAGCACTCTGCCAAAGATTTGAAGTCTATCACCTGACCATACTCCCACCTCTGATGTTCTCCCTCAAGACGTTTCCAGGGCTGCAGAACTCCCTTCCCTGCTCAGTTAAACTTTTACCCAGTTACCATTCCTTAAAAAGTAAGTATGTTTCTAGCAACCTACTTTGATACCCCTACTTTTATCCTTTGTGTCATTATACCCCACTCACTCTAGCATATAAGCTCATTGAGCAGGGCCCTCAACCCATCTGTAACCAGACAAGTTGGACAGACAGGAAAAATTACGCATCTGTTAGTCCATCGTGCTATGGAAGTTGCTGGCACCTTATAAATAAGTGCGAATTTATTTTTTTATTATCGCCATTTATATAACAGCAACAGATTCCAAAGTGCTTTAAAATATTATAAAGGGGGATTTTTAAAAAAAAAGTTTATTTTGGTTGTGCACAATATTACAAAGATGCCTGTGATGCCACACAAGCCCAGGCAGGCACATCTGTCAAACACAATAGAAATCAGCACATTTTTTATTTTAAAAACGAAGATATAACAGTATACATATCTAGCATCAGGTCTAGTGCTAACTAGGGTAGAGTAGTAGATATGGTGTGTACTAATATATTTAGAAAGTGCCACCTGTGGTATGGTCCTGGGTATATGTGAAACAAACATACAAATTATAACATGACAATGGCCTTTTGATCGAGCTGCTATGGGATGTGTGAATAGAAGTAGTAATAGCTCTTTATGTCAAGCAGAAAACAAAAGATGAAGTTTGTCAGTCAGCCGATACCAGCTATTGGAATACCACAGTCCCAGTAAGCATTGATTTCAAGGCTCCTGGCTGCAGATATTAGTTGTGATTTTTGGGTCCTCTGGAGCTGCTGCCCCCCTCTGTATTTCAGCTCTGTGGCTCTCATGTTTGCATGTGCTAGCCTCGTCGCTGCTGTGGCCTTTGCCTCAGTTGGCGTGCTCTTCCAACTGCGAGTTACTGATTGGCTACAGCTGCTGCAAGGCAGGCTCTTGCCAGATGGCAGAGCCTGTAAATTATCTGCAAGAAGGCTTTGAATACAGGGTCCCAGTTATGGGAAGCAGAGCACTTTTTTTTGCAGAGTGCAGGGGGAGCACGTGCGGCGTCCGGCATGTCGTGTAAGCCATTGTCTGGTTTGCCGTTGGTTGCTGCTTTAGCACGTGCCAGTGAGCCTTGGGACCAGGACCACCTCCATGGGTCTAAAGCACCATGTGGGCAACGCCTGTATTCTGCCTGTGCTGGTCTGGAAGATAAGCTGCCTCTCCACAGTACCTGTAGGCCCCACTAATGGTATTGCAGAACCTAGGCTGGGCAGCACTCTCAGAATGGTCTATTGCGCCAGGGTTCCAAGTTTGTACTGCCAGCCCCTAAATTAGAGCTCAAAGGAGCAGTTTGCCAAGCTTATTCTTCCATACATTAGGAGCTCTCCGGTCTCGTGTCCTGCCAACAACATCAAGCCCCTGCTCAAACAAGCTTAGTTTTTAAATCTTTAGATTTAGGGTTCACTCTTTGCTGTGGTTTCATTTAAAGAATTACTTGAACTACTAACCAATTTTGCTTTCAAGAAGTGGTCTTGGTTTTAAGAAATTTATGTGCCGCATTAGCTTGAAACACTACCTATACGAAGACATTAGCCCAGAACAAAGGCGACACTACACTCACAAATTTACACATTAGTGCGAGTCCTGGTGAGGAATAGCCATAACATCACACACTGCATCCTGGCAGTGAACATTTTGCTTCTACCTTTGCAGTCAGTGCTGCATGAGAACATACAAAGATGTCTTTAGAGCTCTGTATGCTTAGCTTGGGCCCACAATCCAACCAAAGGGGCAATGTAAATTAAACATACATCAATTCAAGAGAGGGCTCATGACTTTTGGTGCCATATTTACCTTATTTCCCACATGAGTGATATTTCCAAAAATCGCTTCCATACCACATGACCCTGACCATACAAAGTCGTGAAATATAAGCGTATGGATAAAACAAAAACACGTATGGACGACAAACGTTTACTGCAACTATTGCGCTAAAAATGGCTGATTACCTTTGTGACCAATCCCATGTTACCCTTAACAAATTTGCTATTTGTTAATCATGACAAGTTTTAATAGTTTGACTAATAAAAGCTGTATACAATTTATTACAGCTTCTAATAAGATTGTAGCAGACATGATATGAACTCTGAATAACTATAGTAAATTACCTAGCTGTGAAATGTGCCAAAGTTTTCTTAGCTCACAACTTGACAGCAAGGTGCAGATCTAAAGCATGTGCAGCACTGTGTACCAGTGGTTTTCAGACCAAATTCCCAGATTACATGTGTACTTGGCAGCCAAGCACAAAAACATGGAACATGCATAAATATTTTAAGTTTATGCAATTTTGGTACAAATACCTTAACTTTCTTTTAACAATTTGTTCAATTGGCTTCTCTTGAACCAATGTGAATATAGGTCACAGTATAATCTCATGCAGTCCATTGTACTGCTGCAGAATAAGTTCTGGAAAACAAACCCACACCATAATTATCTAAACTTGCACAAAAGCTCATTCGTTTGACTAGCAGTTTTTAATTTAATAGGCAGAACTTTAAGTTTCTCACAGAATAAATGGAGTGGTTCAGGTCTATATTCTCGTTTCAAACAATGCTCATTTTGCTTAGTACTGGACTGGTGACAAAAAACTACCAGTTGGTCACTGACAAACATGAGACACCTGGTAGACCAATCATTAAGAAGCACTACTAACCCCTTAAAGGACCACTATAGTGCCAGGAAAACAAATTTGTTTTCCTGGCACTATAGTGAGACAGCCACTAGAGGCTGAATTAACCCATAGGTAAACAGTTTCTCTAAAAAAAGTTTAACCTAGCTGGACCTGGCACCCAGACCACTTCATTAAGCTGAAGTGGTCTGGGTGCCAATAGTGGTCCTTTAATGTGATTTAAGTCCAAGTATCACGTCACCTAATGTTTAAAGTAGCAATAAAAAAAATTAAAAAAACCACACACTAATAACATTTCTTCGTAATGATAAACACTAACCAAACCCTTAAGTACTGTGTATTACCATTGTAGATCATTGTCCAAAATACAGGTAACTGCAAAACTTTGTTCAAACATGAGTACTGAGTAAATCACCAAACAGATCCAGCATGTACTGTTGCCTCTACATGTAATGACACATCACTTCTATGAACACCAGTGTCATCAATTTCCACAACCTGATGAAATGGCAGCAACATCCTTAACGGATTGTTTTTCCTACTTTATTAACTGAATGCAATCTTTAGGGCTTAAAATGTCAAGCTGTGAGCTACTTGTAAGGACTGAAAATCCACACACCATGTATGTATGGATGACACATTTACCAGGGGTGAAGAATGCCTACTCACCGAAAACAATTCCACGTACCCAAATCACATAGCAAGTAGAAGTGTTGAGCCCTGCTCCAACGTTCAGGCAATACCAACATAGGAGCAAACTCCAAGTTTGAGAAATGGCAACTCCTCTACCAATGTCAATTGTGAAATACATGGCAAGGTAGAGCGCAATTTATAGGCAGACTGCTTCCCTTTAACTGATAAGAAAAATTGGATAAAGTAGTTTACCTAGTTAATCTATTCCATTTTTACAATTTGTTTCAATGTACATATGGAGTTATGTACCCAACTCAACAGTGTGTAAATATTTAGAGGGTTTTCCCCCTCAACACACTATGTATTGGCAGTCACAATAATGTATAAATCCAGATGGCAATTTATATTTCAGAAGTCCAGTTTAGATATTCTGGCATGTGCGATAAAGTTTGTGCTGACATTGTTCCTGCAATTTGTGACTTCCATAACAAATTTAATACAATCCTTGCCAACTAACCGATGTTTAGGAGAGAGCGCAAATTAACAAGGTGAACCAAAAGCAGTCACTTCTCTATACAATTCACCTAAGAGCCTAGAGCTCTACACTAGGATTATCCCACTTCAGTGGCATAGAACTTATTACCAGGTCTTCACTGTAAACTTCAAATTTAGTAAAAAGGTTATAAGAGGACATGCAGTTTTCTGTAGCAGACTGTGTGGAAGGGAAAGCACAAAAATCAAATTCCAGTCCGTCTTTATTTAATTGTTTTCTGAAAAAATCCTGACGTTACAGAACTAAATTGAAATGCATTTAATACCCCACTCTTTACATTTTGACCAAAAAAAATAAACAGGACAAACTTTTATAAAACTAAAATCTGTATCAGCAGGTTTTAACAGCTGGAGGAAAACCAAAACAATTTAAAAATTGTCATTTTGTTAAAAAAAGAAAAAAAAACATTGAGTGGTCGAGTGGATGAGGGAAAGCACAAGGGAACTGAAAAGTTTGCAAACTAGTTAAAACCTGGGAAAGAAAAAAAAAAAAAAAGTTTGCAGGGCTATGCAGACTGACAGTGATCTATACAGGAGAGTGATGTTGGAAGATGTTTAACTGCTTCCCATGCCACCAGCTTCTGAAGAAAGCCTATAAGGAGGGGGAAAAAAAAAATTATATAAAATAAGCTTGACGAACAACTTCTGGCTTACATAAAAATACATAAAACCTTCAACACATGGTAACCATTAGTAGGGAAATACACAATAGCAATTAAAAAGATTTTAAGAGACTAAATGCAACAGTAACCTGTTCACAAGCAGTCAGGATCATGTTGATTACACATTAAAAGTCATTTTCTAATGCAAAGCATGAAAATAACCCCCAGAAATGGGAAGCAATCTTTAAATGTGAGCTGTAACTGCTCAAAAGAAACACTCCATTTAGCAATATGGGAGGAAGGGGGGGGAAGGTAGACACTACAAAGAACATACATTTTTTAAATTTTCCCCCAATAACGGTACATCTTAAAACTGCTTGGAATTATTCCAAGTAACTGTACACCCCCCCCACGTCTGTTACACAGAAAACAGATTGAGCCACAGCCTAACAGCTTTCCAGGGAGGCCACTGGTAAAGCGTAGAACTAGCTCTCTGGATGTGCATGCTCATAGGTACATTGAGATTTGGGGGAGAAAGCATGTGCACATGCGGTCATCTTCTCTTAGCTCTATGGAAAAGTGAATAGAACACCTGTAGCTGTCTAACAAAGGTGGTGTTTCTGCAATCATTCATAAAAGTGACTTTATGAAATTGCTATTTTAATTTTTTTAAGCTGCAAATAAAAAGGAGACCGTGCTGACACAAATGACTTCAGGAAGCTGAAGTGCTGTGTGTGCAGTGCTCTTTTAAAGCCATGAAGGCTATGCTATAATTATGCCAGATGTCCTTGAAACCAACTTTATCAATTAATGAAGCCAACAAAACATCCAGTTTCAGGAGCACAAGCCACACACACACACACTGATTGTGGTTCCTAAGAGCGGGAGGAAAAGGGTCTCCAGCACCAGATCAACGGCTTAAACAGGTGATTAAGTTATGAAATGGACAGTGTTGATTTTCATTTTAATTTATAAAGGCCCAACAAGGTAGATTTTAGAAACTAAACCAGGGTTGGCTAAGATGAGAATACAAGATGCACAATGCTAAATAGACTGAAACACCAAACAACTAAAAGCAGTTAGAGATGTACATTTAAAGACGGTCATTTTAATTTCCCCTGCATCACTTCCCCAAATCATTTTACACTGTGTAATATATAAATCTCAAATATATGAAAACATGTTCAGAGTTGTAAGTTATGCAATATGCATTTGTTTAAAAAAAAAAAAAGCTTATGTCTGCTGTACCTATCAATTCAGTTAACTTACCTTCCTTACACATTTTAGATGGCATGCACTATGTTCCAAAAAGGATCACTGGCTACAAATTCAACACAGGTCCCTAAGCATATTCAAATTCACAGGCAGGGTATCAGTTTATTCAAAGGGAATTTTAATTTTTTACGCCAAATACAAAATCATAGCTGACTTAGAGAATTTTTCCAAGTCTGCTGTTTTGGCATTAAGTTTGACATTCACCTCGAATTCTCCCTCTAGTAAAGGATACTGAAGGGCTCTAAACAATGAGGTTGCGATCCGCAGTAATTGCTCAGTTTAGGCACAGTATAGGTCTAACTTTCTCTCCTAGAGATGATTTTAAAAATTCATTGTTCATGTTGACACATTTCTAGGTTAAAGTAATTAGTCTACAAATGTAGTTATTAACTTTCTGTAACTTCACACTTCATTAGTTGTGCTGATCAGTAAAATCTAGCCTTTTGATTTGTGACATTTTTATGATATTGTACAACAGGAGTTGAGAAATTTGTATTAAATGCACCAGTTTGTTGGTCTGTCTAGATTCTCTTTTTAGTGCCCAACTAAATGTTCAGTTAGTAAAGTTCCAAAATCCATTTCTTCTCGCTGCATGTGGCTTGCCAGGCTGTGTTGGGGCACTCCATTGTTTAAGACCTGAATGTTTGTAGTATGACTTAACCCCTACAATACCAGAAAGAAAAAAAAACACCACCCATGTGGAGCATTTGTTTTGAATTTTACTTTAGTAGTTTAACAAAAAAAAAAAAAAAAATCCAACTGCTGGGCTATGACATAATTTTTTAGAATTCTCAGCAAAGTCAATATCAATATGGATTGAGTCAACCTGACAAAACGGTATTGTGTCAATGTAGATTTGAATAAAGTTTGGGTCTTTAAAGGGGAATTGTCACTTTTCTGAAACATTCTACTAAATAAAACTCCGGACACACATAGCAAAGGAACAGAAATATCAGTTTCTCTGTACGCTTTCTCTATGTTGACTGCAAAAGATTGCTTATAACAAACAAAAATATATAGCTTATAACCATGACTGACAAGGGGCTACAGTGGAAGTAGAAAACACTAAGCTGGTTACCACAAAAACACCATGCTCCAGCAGAGTACACAAGTCATTGCAGCTTTAATAGTATAAATAACCATGGCATGAGGAATTGCGCCACAGGAGAGAGCCAAAGCATCTTTGTGATAACTGACCCATTGTTTTCTTTGTCTTGAGACTTTTACCTGGCCAGCAGCAGCAATTTGGTGAATGGAGTCTGATTTATCCTTTATTTTTGTTTGCTATGATGGAGGTATACAGCTGCAGGATAAAAAAATAAAACAAAAAAATAAATAAAAAGGATATCCAATTTTTTTCCTCCCACCACACAAATTTGTTCAATCGAGGGAGTAAACAATTTTAAAATATCCTGAGAAGTGACAGATCCCCTATAAAAGCTTTCAAACATCTGTGAGACTGTATAGTATTAAGATTTGTACAAAGTGTAAAAAATATATTTAAATAAAATTTATATTATAGGTATTGGGGATTGACCGATAATCTGAACTTTCAGGCAGATAGTTTACCAATAATCTGTACATTTACCATTTTGAAAAAATAAACTTTCTACACAAGTCTGTTAACTGAACACGTTTATTTTTGGCCAATTTTTTTTATTAATGTAAATGCATAAAGTGTACATGCCAGTCAGAATTTAGGTTTTCAAGAATGTGTGTAGTGTATGCAGTGTGTAATATATATAATGAATGCAGAGTGTGTTTGTGTAGTGCGTATAACGAATGCAGAGTATTTGTGTAGTGCGTATATATGAATGCAGACTGTAGTTATGTAATGTGTGTAAAATAGAGGGAGCGCATTTTTTTCCAACTATTTAATTTTTTACATTTTGTTTAAGAGCCCCCTCCCTGCTTATTACCTGGCCAGAGAGGGTGGCTATGGTATTCCCTGGTGGACCCAGCAACACTTAACTTCCCTTCCCAGCAGCTCCCCAGTCTAACTTTTGAGGCTTGTGTGCCACGTTAACCTGTGGCAGTGCTCTGACATTCGCAGGACTCGGGAGTGTTAGTCAGCGGTACTGAAGGGAGCCTCGGGGAAGGTAAGTAAGAATGTACTGGTCCCCCCCACCCCCAGGACCCTAATGGTAGCCCTGGTCAGCATTATCGACAATATCGGTATCTTTATTGGCAGATACCGATATTGCTGAGAATACAGAATATCGGCCAGACCAATAATCTGTTGATCCCCAATAGGTATACCAGTTTGTGTGGGTTAGCATGCAGAAAAATATCTACGATGAGTGATGGAGTTTCAGAAAGAACATTTTAAATCACAATGCACTAAGGATTTTTGATCATAAGTAGGCAGCTTGGCTCCATCCCCTCCCTCCCCCGGCTGATACACATATACACCACAATTATATAATGTTGACACCCCTACATTATGAGCAATAAATAATACTTCCAAGCGCTGGGAAGGGACCTTTATCGGGCCTTGGAAAACTAGGTTTTTAAATCCAGTTTTTCCACTAAGTGCCACCAGGTTACAACCTAGAGCATCATGGGAACTTTAAAGCCTCTAGGGAGACCAAAATATCCATTACTACTATGGTATTTGGTCAAATCATATCCAACACCAAAGTATTTTGTTAAGCAACTTTAAATGGGGAGTCTGTCTGTGCCATAGCAAAATTTAATGTGGGAGACTAACCTGAAGGCCATGTAGGCAAAGACATCCGAGGGAGAGACATTTTCAGGAAATTATACTTTTATACATTTGCAGCAGTTTCACCAACACATTGTCCATATCAAATCTATACCTACCCAAATGTGAATTTCTGGTCCACATAATTTGTGGATGACACGTTAATAAGTTTAAATTGCTGATCAAACCTACATTGTGCAAAGTGCTTTATCGTAAAGGACTTCACCCAACACTCAAAACAGCATAAATATTACAACTAGAGCCTTGTATGGTTAACAAACCAATGGCTGTTTTTATTAAAACATACCTCACAGTAAATGCTAAACATTTAAATTTGTTGAGTTAAGCAATAAAAACACAGCTACCACTACGTGTAGGTTTACAAATAAAAGGAAAAAAATTAAATAAAAATATGAGAGGCAGGAAGCAAGCCTCCCTTATCTGTACCAACCTCCTATGTCCCTAAGCCATCTTCAAAAGGAGGGGAAAAAAAATATATATAATCTTCTGATATCTAGCACTAAATGAATTACAGTGGATCAACAGCATAAACAATTTAATCTGACAATTCGTTAAAATAAACGTGTTCTGTCAATTATAATTCATACGACAGGCAACTCAGTAGGGAGAAAATCGCTGCTTTTCCGATTTCACTTTAGAGTACATCTGGGCGGCAGAGGCAGGAACAGCAGAGGATGAGGCTGTGGACACGACATTTAGAGCCAGGAGCGGGACAGGTTTCATGTCAAGCAGATTGGAGACACAAGGGGCAGTCGAGGGATTGGGAGGTGTATCCGAGGAGGAGGAAGAGGAGGTGGAGACTGAGGTGGGTTCACCACCCCCCGCTGAGGTGGCAGCCAGCAGAGAGATGGGGGCAGAAGGGGTGGAGGGTTGAGAGATGCTGAGAAGGTCAGGGGTCGTGGCGCTCTGGGAGGAGGAGGGTTTAGCGGTTTCTAGACTGTAACAGAGGAAAAAGAAAAAAGGGAACAAAACAAAAACGGGTGGGTGGGAGGGTAGGAACAAACGGAGGTGCACAGGAGGATAACAATGGAAGCTGTGTGCAAGCAAAGTGGTACTGAGTATTCAAGTGTACTACTTACACTATATGCCAGGGGAGACTATAGCAATTTGTAAAGTTCCACTGTTTTATTAAAAAGTTACTTAGAACTTTCTTGGAATTAAAGCAAATCACTCAGTACATTAAAATTAAATGCTGCCAAACCATTATCATAAACAACCTCACTGAACAGTTTTAGGATTGAATATTTAATCTTCTTGAAAATAAAACCTTAACTTCTAACATCACAGAATAAGACAAAAACAGCATTTCTTCTACTCTGTTAGTTGGTTCATATTACTGGAGATATATGGCTGTGATCGCCAATATTACAGTGTGCCAGCAGCTTTTAAATAAATCAGGTAGATCAAACCCACCAAGACTGTTTAACCCCTTAAGGACCAACCTTCTGGAATAAAAGGGAATCATGACATTTCACATGTCATGTGTCCTTAAGGGGTTAAACCATGTTTTAAAAAATATTTTTTTTTATTCTGATGTGAACTGTTACGATACACACAAAAAAGTTAACTTTTAATATGCAATTCCATCTACACAATGGAATTGTGTCTATTGGTATTCTGCATATACAACTATGCAGCCAGCATTTCTAGATCAAAGCAACTACATTACATGTGCTGTAGTTGTGTTTAACCTCTAGTTACTACAGTGTTCTCTAAACTCTGGTTTGCTAAATGTTGCTGAACTACAACTCCCATGAATTTTTGGCTATTTCATTCAAAGAATCGGGGGAGTTGTAGTTCAACATCTGGAGGGCCAGAGTTTGGACAACCCTGTTCGTGAATCGGCCACACACTTTCCAAGATAGGTTCAGAGGAAGGAAAAAAAAAAAAAAAAAGTGACCACTCAGTTCTGGAATCAGCATAATGTGAAGCCAGTGTGTTGGCATCAGGATGGGTGTCCTATTTCAGGAAAGTGCTGCCAAAGAGGGACAAATATGTAGGACGGAAGGAACAAAATAGTGTTACAAAAACATGCATTCTATATGTGATTCTACACCAGCACCCGATATGGCTGGAGACATGCACGGCAGATTAAGGGTATTACCTAACCGATAGCAAGTGGCAGCAGTTTATAAACTGCTTGTCAAAACAAAAATCTGTTTACTGCAGGAAATACAAATTTGCATGCATTTTAAATTGCATGTTATTTTCGATCACTAAGATAATTTGGAAGCCTTACTTTCATTACAGAAAATTAAAAAAGGACCACTCCCCACACACAAAGCACTTTAGCTTGCGGAAGTAGTTTATATGTCTGGGCATCTGTCAGAGCCGGGCATCGTAAAGCCACTATTGCACCTCCAGCAGAAGCTTCTCAACGAGAAGAGGGATTGGAGTTTTTCCCAGCAAAGACAAAGTCTGTACTGGAAAAGAGGAGAGAGCATGCAAAGGCTGCAGGCTCAGAGTTATTTTTTCCAGAAATACCCCCAAAGGGGAAAAGCGGAACAAGGAGAAAATTAAAAAGTGAACTCATGTGTTTATTGGGCATATTTAATAAATATGATTTTCCCTATGGACTGTTCCATTAAAAGTCTGTGTGAACTTTGTCATCCACAATATATGTTACCAAGTTCCAAGCAAATTTGATTCTAATCTACACTGCTGGTGGGAAGGGGAAAAACCCCCACAAAAACAACAAAACAAAACACAAAGTTACTTACCTAGTTTGTTTCCTCCTCTACCAATATGGTTAACACAGTGGATGTGAGTTTATCACTTCAGAACAAAGGAAGCTGCCTCTGCATATCTACTGTGCCGTCAGATGGAAGGATTCTGATACTCATGTTAGTTTTTGTTAAAGGGAAACTATGTACTCTACAGAACTACATTAAGCTGTAGTTCTGGTGACTAGTCTGTCCCTCTAGGCTTTTTAATGCTGCCTAGTAACATCTCTTGTGGCCACTCTTCAGAGCCACTAGAGGTGCTACCTGGTTCAGTTCTGAACTTTCTCCATAGAAATGCATTGATTCAATTTAGCTCAGAAGATGCAGATTGGCCAGGGCTGCGTTTAGTTATGCCCACCTTCTTCGCCAAGGAGGAAGAGCCAATGCCAGCAGACCTGCGTGGTGCTAGAAATAAGGTGCCTTTTTTATTTATATAAAGGGGGCTAGTTTAACACTATAGGGATGGTCTCAGAAACCATCAGGTTGGTGCAGTGTGGTGTTTTGCAGAACATGCGCACTGGTCACCCATGAACGTCAAGGACGCCAGCCAGTAGGACAGAGACTGGCACAGAAAGGGCTAAAAAAGGCAAGCAAGATTTATACCCTTTGAGCTCTCACAGGGAAAGGGAACATTAGTACTGTTAGAGATTATAGTATTGGGAATACAGGTTTGTATTCATAATGCAAGTGTTCCTTTAATGAAGATCTGGGTTGCATGCTTTAAATAGTTTAGCAGATTATGAGTGTATTCCCCATAGAAACTCAAGCACAGCTCTTAATGCTGTGACCCTATGGGAAGCCATGTGATAAAAATAGACGGGGCCGCCTACAAAAGTGTTCACTACAAAAATTGGGTTTAGAATAAAACTCAACTGGATGGGATCTTAGCCATGCCAGTTCAGTTACTATAATGCCAATTTTAAACATCAGACTTTTAAAAAAAAAAAAGGTAGATGCAGTGTGGTTGTGGGCAGGGAGGGGAAAACTTATTTTAAAAACAAAGTTCATGCATCCAAAATCCACTGCCAGGCCTTGAGGGAGCATGGAGTACTGAACTACTGTGTTTGTCCGATAAATGTAAGCAGGACTGAATTGAGTACTTGTGCACAATGGAGCACAGTAGCATCTCATTTGAGAATTAAGTTCTAAATGGAAAACATTCACAAATTAATGCAAAGCAGCCAGAGGCATATTTTTACTAGAAGCAGCATTTTTATTTTAGAGTTTTTTTTTCTTCAAGTAGTGTGGCTTATGGTAGTCAATTTATAGAACAACTATGCAGTTATATTTTTTAGGATTACAGCTCAGATATTTGAGAAACAGGAAATTTAATACAATAAAAACCATGTGCAGGCTTCTGGGGAGCGGTTGCTATAAAGCCTATGGAGATATCAGTCACCTCTAAAAATGAGGTAGGCAGATATGCCAATCTTTGTCAGACTAGCAAAAGCACAAAGGTTAGTGTTACAGTATAAAATCATCAATATACAAGTATTTTATTGATGAAATATATCATGAGGTGTGATGGTAGATAGGAACACTAGAATTTTGGTTATTTCATTAATTCGTTTTCTTGGTGAATCCCATTAATTCCACCTGTTTCCTGCCTATCAATACTTGGTACATGGCCTGGGAAATATGGTAAAATAATGTTACTAAAGGAAATCACGCCGTTCTAGGTAACAATCCCTTCAGGCATAAATGTTCTATGTATGACTTCCTCTTTTATTTAAAAAACAAAACAAGCCTAAATTTTAAGTTTCTATTGAACAATAAGATTAGAACAAGGTCTGCTCAAAAGAGGCTTTAACCCCTTAATGACACATGACGTGTGACATGTCATGATTCCCTTTTATTTCAAAAGTTTGGTCCTTAAGGAGTTAAAGAAAAGCATACCACCATGACAACTAAGAAAACAAGCCTTAGTTTCCCCACGCAATGTAGGGAACTTACCTGACATTGATAAGGTATTGGGCCAAGCTGATGCTGGCTGTAGATCCAGTGATAGTCACTTGTCGATCAGTGGAACCTTCCACAGGATTAGCAATTTTAATCTGTGCCCCAGACATCTGACGAATCTCGTTTATTTTAGCTCCTTGACGTCCAATGATACAACCGATCAACTAAGTTAAAAAAAAATTAAGAAAATAAAAACTACACATTAGTATAGAGATTATAGTAGAGCTTGTGTTTCATGGTGTTTTATCAGCTGAAATTTCCTTCTCAAATTTGCATGATTTGCAGTGCTTACACTAACTAAATTGTATAAAGAATGATGACTATTTGTATAGCAATATACTATATGTCATGCATAGGGGGGTGGCCTCATCTGTGGAAAACAAAAATTACTATACGACTGAACTGCCCAGCCATCTTGTCTGTCCTCTCTAGAGAACTTGCATCAAAAAAAATTAAATAAAAGGAATGTCATCGGTAGACATCTACGAAGTCAAACTGTCTTCGGTAAAGATCAAGGAAACCAGCAGGAAAGGTAAGAGGACATTAGAGCCACTATGTAAAGCACACTCATTTTGGAAATTGTAAGCCACAGGCTGCGAACTACACTTTCATTCACTATATTTGTTTTGTAGGTCACTTGCGGGGTTGCTTAGACAGACAAGTTTGATCACAGAATGTGTACTCTATTACAGAGTCAAATTTAGCTAGCATAACTGCCAATGAGATCTGCAACAGATCAGACATATGTTGCCAACCCATAAGAGGATAGTTGGATTGAGATAGAGTTCGGCGCGTCCGAAATTAGTCTGAATTTCCATTCAGACCGAACTACACATGTCTAATTTTAACCAACACACTAAACTGTTATATACAAGTTCTCAGTTCAACTTTGGATTTCATGAAGTTTTTTTAGCCAAGTGGCTTATGAAACTTGTGTAAGCAGTTTACTTCCCACTTTTTCCAACCCAATATACCTCAAGGTTAAACTTTTAAAGTGAATAAAGTAGTAAGGAGGGATAAGAGCCTTTGTAACAAGACGGGAGAATGAAATGAAAAAAAACAAAAAAACAAAAACAAAAACAAAAAAAAAAACATACGTACGTCATTTGGAATGGTGAGTTCGTGAGACGTGGTTTGAGCCGATGCATCAATGCCTCCTGTAAAATAACATGCTTAGATTACTGCATATCACAGAACAAAAATAAATACTTAATACCTGTCAGCCAAATCTCATACAAGGGGTGGGGGTTAGGGGAGCCATTAAATGGCAGTTATGTACACCATCCTGAGAGATCTATTAGCAAGCAACCTAATTACATATGCAGCACCTCCATGTACCCTTTCATGCTCATAGTATGCTGTATGACAGGAAGGGCAAATATACACATATATAAAAACCACACAGAGGTTATTTGATGTTGCCATAGATCATGAGTGGTACAATTGATCTGCGATAAGGAATCTCTAAATCTGTCCAATTACCAGAACAACTACAGCTTATACTCACTAAAGTTGGTGAGTATAGTGAGCACCTGCAGCTTTTTAGCTGTAAACAATGCCTTTTTAGAGAAAATGCTGTGTTTACATTTCTCCCTAGGACACCTTCAGTGGTCAAACCTCAGATGGCCACTGGAGGAATTTCCTGTGGCCGTGCTGCATACGTTCACTGAACTTTCCCCATAGAGATGCATTGATTCAAAGCTTGCATTTGGCTTGGCCCCCTTGACGATCTCAGTCGATCGGATGAGATCATCAATTCTGATTATGTAAGCCAAGGAGGTGGATCAGAGGTAGGGCCAGCAGACCCAAGCTGGGAATAAGGCAAGCTTACCTTTTAAGAGGGGCAAGCCACCTAAATTGTGATTTTAACACTATAGGGGTCAGGAATACAAGTTTGTATTCCTAACCATATAGTGCTCTTTTAAGTCTGGATGACACGTGCCAAAGGTTGCCAAACCCTGCTACAGGAGATCTAAATGACCTTTAACAGAGAGAAAATTCATTTTCTACACAAGATATTTTAGAACTCCCTTATTAGGTTCGTGTGTGTGTGCGTGTGCGTGCGAGAGAGAGAGAGAGAAAGAGAAAGAAAAAAAACAAAAAAAAAAAAACTGAAATCGGCAATTGTAGTCTTTGGAACATAAACTACAACTAAGCAGGACAACAAACTAAAAATACACCTTACCACTGAATCCGGTATTGCCACTGTGAGACATAGGAAAGTGAGACTGTTGCATTGCCAGCTGGTGCAACTTGGTCAGCTGCAGAATAAAATTTAAGTAAAAATCAGATATGGTAAACAGTGCAATGTAAAATAAAAAGTTTAGGCGAAGTAGATCAATAATAGGATGACATTCTAAAGGATTGTTTTAAGAAAAAGAAAAAAAAACCACCACAACTTGATAATTATACTAACATATGTATCATGCTCACATCTGACAAGTCTCATTAAAAATTGCTGTGGCCAAAGCTAAAGACAGCTAGACAGAAAAGATGTGGTGGTTAAAGGTTGAAACAGGCAAGGACATGAGAAGTTAATGTGGGCAGTGCTCACTTTCACCAGACATCAAAGTGCAAACTTACATCAGGCTGAGGAATGGCATACTGTCCTTGAATGGTGTAGGCCTATAAAAAAGGAGGAAAGGGAGTACTATTAAAACTAAGTGGCAGCCAGCTAGCTGTGTTTGAGTGACAGCCAAGCATAGATACTGCTAAACATCCAGACAGCGTCAAGCAGAAAAAAACAAAACAAAAAGCTTTTCAACCATGGAGGAACAGTGATTTGTGCAAAATTCAGATCTCTTGAAGATTTGTGCAGTAAGAACAATAAACCACCACACGCACACAAAGTTTAAAATGTACTCCTTTTATTTCTATTTTCGTTGTGTTACGGATTTATGTACCAATTTAACTCTTCCGAGCCAATTTCTCTTTTAAGATTACTTTTCAGTTTTTACTTGAGTGCACTACTAGGTGTATGAGCTCCTGGTTTTTACTGCGCTTTTCAGCTTTCTACATATAGTGCTTTTTTGGGAAACTGACAGTTTGAGCAGTATTTAGGAGATAATCCCATTTTTAATTAGGATAATTTTTTTTATTTATTTGATTTTTCTCTTTATGCTTTTCAGTAGCATTATGATTTCCACAAGCTAACAGAGAAAATGATTATTAAATACAGGCATGCAAGTTCACTTTAATTGGCCTCCCCCTATGGGCAAGATATATTCAAGCGATACGGTTAATACATTACAAAGCACTGTTGCATGTCCACAGCGCCACGTGTGCTACATCATTGTAACATCCACTTCTGGCAACAATGGAATTCTAATTGATGGGTCCTGCTTGAAAACACTTTACCAATAAGGCTCAACAGTGGGTTGGCTTTTGTATGACAGCCATTCCGCTTCTACACTTATGTAGCCAGCACTTGTATAGATAATGTATGCACTATAGTTGCTGTGCAGGAAGTCAGGACAACTGCATATAGCAGTGTCCTTCAAGGCCAGTCAATTATTAGCAGAGGTCTGACAGCAAGAACACACTTTAGATAGCACTTCCCCAGCGGTCAGATTTAGCTAGATTATATAGATATAGGAATAGTATTATGGCTTTTACATTATGCAATGTTATGCACACCATGACACAGAAAACCAAATAGACCACGAGACAAATAACTGTCAATAGTGCAATTTACCCCCTAAAAACAAACATTAAAATTCCACTACATCATGGATAATGTTAACGTCTTACTCATATTACACACAGGGCTATAAACTGCGGATGTTAAACACTTCAAAAACGATTCTTTTGGGAACAGATTGAAAGGATGGTATAAAAGGACACCAATTAAATACTATAGGTACTTGGGTCACTTCATCTTAAGGAACTTGTCTGAGTGCTATGCCTCCCATCCTTAAACACTGCACAGTAAAAATGAAAAAGTAAGGTTTTCAGATACAGTGTTAAGTGCCACTACTGGCGGTTTCATAGAAAGCCACTAGAAGCATTTGAGGAAAGAAAGTATTTAAATCAGATGGTCTCAGAGACCACAATGTTGCACTCTAGTATTCCAATGTCTTCCTATGGCACAGCATTGGATTGTCTGAGATCAATGTGATTTTAAAAAGTACTTTTATTCCCGCCCTGCAGGTGGGGATCAGTCACCTAAATAGCCACGAGGGTACTAAGGCATCAGGAATACACATTTGTATTTAAGAGGTAAATGCAGTGCCAAAAAGGGCTCATTTTTCATAATGCTTTAGTGTCCCATTAAGGAAAAGAAAATCTCTAAAAGTGTTACCAGTGTATTAGTGCTTGGTAAAAGTGGTCATTTGAATTATTTGGCCAATTGATATATATTTGTAATAACTAGGAACCATCTGAACAAAAAGCATTAAGCAAATAATCTTACTTGAAGCTTGTTACATTGCATATGATCTGTGACAAATACCTTAATAGCATATAGTTCGCACTACATAAACTGTCAGGTGGAAGCCACCCACTAATCAAAAACAAGAATGTAAATACTTTAACACCCATAAAACTTAATACATAAGGGTCAAACAGCAAGATAAATACATCAGGACCTACCCCATGGAGATCCACAGCATCTAGGGAGACCCCCCCTGTGTGGGACCTTCGCCCCTCCCACAGGTCAGTCTCACATGCGTGCCCTCCGGGCTGGCGTGAAACCTGTTGAACAAAGCGAAAATGGGATTCAGTCATCTCTGATAAAAGTAAAAGCCTCAGTCCTCATTGGTTAAAATGTAACCCCACCTTCACATACTCTGATGTCCGACACTAGAACAGCTGTAGGTCATGATGCTCCGTCACATAGAAGGCTGACAAAGCATCATGGGAACTTTAACCTACACAACTATATTGTTAAAGGACAGACACCAGAGTTTCAAACCATGGGAAAGGAGAGTAGTCACAGATCCAAAATGAGACCACTGGCCAAAGCTCTTCCTTCACCAAAACTTTCCCTTGTTTCTATATGGGGGGCCCATGCTTTGCTCAATTAAACCTTAGGCCAATTCAGGATTATAACTTAATTTCAAGCATAATCTGGAAGGCACTGAAAGTGTATTAAAAAAATAAATCTACAAGAAACCCATACAAGCAATGCCATAAATGTATAGCTTAGTGCGTTCTGTAAAAATAAAGAAAGTTATTAGTTTACATTAATGAGGCTTCACTGCATAGACTCAGACTCTTTCCAAGATAATTATGGCTTAAAATCTAAACGTTGCTACAAACGTTTTAAAAAGTTAACATTGATATACCAGAAAAGGGGGTGGGAATGGAGGAATCCTTTCAAAAAAATTTTTTTAAAAAGTGACAAAATGTAACAAAACAGAAGTGAATCAAATGGGTATTTCTGGGAATTGAATGGCAAAATTAAATATGAGAATTTCATATTCTATAGAATACAAAAATAAAAAACCTAAGTCAGATTACACAATCACAGCATTCAGGCATCTGAGCTATTAAAAATAAAAGCCAGAAAATTCTGTCTCTGGTATTCTGTTGGTCAATTCCTAAGACAAGATACCTGAAGAATACATAGGCATTTGTTTTCTGCAAACTAAAGTATCCTTCATTTGGACCCTGCCAGGAAAAGACAATGAAGCCAAAAAAAAATAAAAAAAAAATAAAAAAGTTTCACCAGTGCCCATAACACATTAGGGTCCAAAGGAGGAATCCTTGGTCTGCAAAGTTATCTGTACTTGCTACAGGTATCCTATTTAAGAACTGAGACTACATTGAAGCAAACTTTGACTAGAACACCAAGATTATAGTGTGTATATATATATATATATATACATACACATACACATACATACATATGTATATATGTATATATACACACACATATATATATACACACATATACATACATATATATACATATATATACACACACATATATACACACACACACACACACTATAATCTAAAGCGAAAATGGGATTCAGGTCACTTCATCTTAAGGAACTTAAAGGTTGCACTCACGGATTCCTTAAAAAAAAAAAAATAACTTATTGAACTTTCCTAAAAAAGAAAAAAAACCACGACGTTTCAGTCCTACTCAAGGACTTTCATCAGGATTATGTAAACAGCATATAACAAACAATTAGACAATATATAAGATACAATAAATGACAGATAGCATGGAGCACCTGTGGTGAGTCTAAGTTCACGCATGTGCGGGAAAACTCCGCCCCCCCAGCGTGACGTCATGCATAAAATGCCATCGTTACTACGGTAATGCGGCTAAATGTAAACAATGAAATATTGCGATCTTAAATATATGCTAGGCAAACATACCAAAACAGTGATCCATATGTAGTGTCTTGGCTGTGTGACTTGCAGCCATTTACACCTGCAAGAACTTTGTCATCCTCATAATAGAAGATATACTATTCGATATACCATCACATGTGGTATATAAACTATCTTGTGCCTGTGGCTTGTTATATTGGGAAGACGGAGACGGCTATCTGCGAACGGATTAGGGGACACAGATCCTCCATTAGATTGGCATATAGAGATGGTTGCTCAGATAAACCGGTTGCGAAACACTTTTTTGAATTAAAGCAACCATTGGCTACACTGATGTTTATGGCCATTGACCATATCCCTGTCCCTAGAAGAGGAAGTGCTAGGGGGAAAATGCTGCTCAAAGAAGCTTATTGGATACATGAGCTGGACACTGTCTCCAAAAGGATTAAATGAAGCTTTGTCTTTACATTCCTTTTTGTGATTACTTTGGCCTGAATGCCCCTTAATGTTTTTTTAATGTGTGATTTTATATTTATGTTTTTTATTTTAAGTTTTCCTATATGCATTTTTTTATGATGATTTTGCTGCCGTCCTCTAATTAGATAATATATTGTATACAAGCTTAGTGTAAGCAAGCATCAGCAGTTATCTTTAGAAATTTGATCTATATGCCCTGATGCAGGATACAATAGTGATACTAATTAATTTTTTGAAGGTATACATTTTTTGAGTGACAGGAGCAAAAGAAAAAAGTTTTGAATAATTTTCTGGTTGATTAGTTTATTATATGTATCTAGTCATTGGGATTACTTGAATATTTATATAATTTGTACTGGGTCACAATATATTCACATTAGCACTGTGGCACTTTATTTTCTGCACGTTTATAGCACTTTAAGTGAAGACTTGATTCTGCACTAGCACTTTTTAAGACCCATTAGCACTTTATTATATATAGTCCACATTTAAACTTGTCCTATGCCAGTTTCTGGTGTCCTTAACTATTGTCACTTATGGTAAGATCACTACATATGGATCACTGTTTTGGTATGTTTGCCTAGCATATATTTAAGATCGCAATATTTCATTGTTTACATTTAGCCACGTTACCGTAGTAACGATGGCATTTTACGCATGACGTCACGCTGGGGGGCGGAGTTTTCCCGCACATGCGCACACTTCCGGTCTAGACACCGGTCTTAGCACGGAGCACCTGTGGCGAGTCTGTAATTTATTGTATCTTATATAGTCTAATTGTTATATGCTGTTTACATAATCCTGATGAAAGTCCTTGAGTAGGACAGAAACGTCGATTTTTTAGGAAAGTTCAATAAAAGTTAATTTTTTTTAATGAATCTGTGAGTGCAACCTTTGACACTACTACTTGGATATTTGGAGCCCTGGGAGTGCACCCGGTCTGGAAATTTGGAGTTTGAGTGCAAGGTATAGTGCCACATATATACACACACACACACACCTCCATCTAAAAAAAAAAAAATATTTCACTATGCATTTTTTTCCTTTACCCTGAGAGATCAATAGGTTGTGTTACTTTCGGTTTGGAACAGTGATCATCTTTTGACAAAGACTAATTGCACTTGGTTAAACTACAACCTTTCTGGTGTGTGCGCACACGCACTTTTGGTTTTATGGGATGGAGCAGTTCCAGTGCCAGGAGGTGTACTATGAGATTAAGGCACTATATTTACTCCATATCGTTGCAGTTGCACGTGATTTATGGCTCAAGTTAAACACTCCTACAAAAACAGAAGGTACAATTTTACACGGGAGTTTCAGTTTTAGATCTCAGAAACTGTTGTACATTGCTTGCCAATAGGGTCATGTGGAAATCATTGTAAAATGAAAGATTCAATTTAAAAAAAAATTCCTACAAATAAAACCAGACATTCAGGACAGTCATTTGTTCCATGGAATTACAGCATCACAAAACAAGTCTCACAGCAAGCTCATAAAGGGTGGACTCACTACAGTTCCAGAACAAAACTGTATTGAAGACTGGTTTTAATCCAGAGTAGATGTATTCAGCCAGTTACATTTCCTGCTTTAGTCAAGTATTTAACTCCTATTTCCCATTCAGTTGTGGTGGGCTCATTGAGCGCCAAGTTAACTCATTTTGGATCCATGATTGTAACCCATGGTAAAATAAAAAGAAGACTTTAAGGCAGGCACTTCCATCAGAGACACTTACACTTTGTTCAAAAAGATGCATCACTGCTAGAATTAAGAAACAATTGTAGAAAGTGACTAAAAAGGGTGTAAAATAAAATTTAACAAAAATTACATTTATGTGTATAATATTTACACATGCATCCAGTGGAAAGCCAAGCAGCTATGCTTCCTCAGAAGGGTTTTGATAGTGCACACACTTTTTTTAATGTCTTGGGGGGTTTGGAGGGGGTCATTTTAAAACAAATGTGCACCCAAGCTTTCAAAAATCATGTCATCTGGTTTCTGTATTCAATATGGTGTAAACGTTCACAGCTTTAAGACAGGATTGCTTAATACGTTACATCAATATGCAAAATTGTGAGCTTGTATTGTCAATAAATCAAATGATACAATATAATGGTCATTGAATTCCACCTGACAGAGTTTAAAAATTTACAGATTACTCCTTTTCAGAACACGATTGATATTTGAATACTAGAGAAAGGCTTTGTCACAGATCCCGTACAAGCCACGCAAACTGCTGATATTAAGGCGGAGATAAAACATGCAGCAAAATCTCAGTGCAGATCTCAGTATTCTTACCTGACCACCTGCGAAAATAACTGGAGAGCTGGAAGGCTTAGGTCGATATGGGATGGTAACTCCTTTTGGAGGAGACTAGTCAATGTAAGGAAGTTAAGGAAAAAAATAAAAAAATTAAACAAGGCAGTAGTGTGTGCTACTAGTTTGATACAGTTATAAACAAGCCACATTCAATAGACATTAAAATAAATCCTTGTACAAAAAACCACGCTACATTATTAAACAGATGAGGGAACCACTATAATCCCAATTTTTCTGCCTACCAGAGAAATGAGTGACCACCATTTACAATGACTTCAATTTTAAGTGCCAAGTATTTTAGCTTAAAATGAGCCACACAGTAGACTGCACTACTAGCAGGCATAAACTAATCATTTGGCAGACAGGCAACATTGCATGTTAGGTCACTGTGGGATCTCAGCCTATAGGTCCAATGGTTCCTGGATTACTCAGTAGCCTTCCATTGGGTTATTTGTCAATGCTTACAATCAACTTTCTATGCCTGATACAGACATTAGCAAGTGCTGTATGGCCCAAGAAGGTGATCCTGACAGCAAGAAACAATCACAGCCTGCCAAGCTGACTGTACCAGGAAATAAAGCATCTAGTAAGAATTTCTCATCAGTCTGGGCTTTCCATTAATTCTCTCAGACGTCTATTCAGAAAACAGCAGAACGTATGATGTAGGCATAGATCAGATTGGGGGACATTTCTGAAAGTGTCAGATTTGTTCCTGTTCATCCAAGTCTAGGCTTCCATTCATGGGATGCTATGCAGTATAAAGTAGGTAGGGCACAGGAAAGTCTTCAGTTCAATAGTAAAATTTCTTTTGGTGCTTCTATATTACCTTCCTGCAGTCTCACTGAGCAAGCTTTTATTTAGGAGTTAAATATCATTGGGAATGGGGGTGTTTAAGTTCATAGTGTATAATAGAGCACAGTATGTTTATGCTGTTAGCAGAAAACAAAACAAAAAAAAAAAAAACACCAGAGGCTCCTGCAAGCTCTTAGAGGAGAAGTTATGAACATAAAACAGTTTGTAATAAAAGGACGTTTAAACATAAGTCACCGCTCTAATGAGTAGCTCATTTTTGGGGCCACAGACAGTCCCTTTAATACACGGTTCCACTGGATAAGTTGGCTTTCTGAAAGGTCAGCAACCTCTGGGGAAGGCGGAAATCTGTGTTAGAGAGCACAGATTCCTTTCAGGTATGCACGGGGTATCCTTTCTGGGACATGATAAAGCATCACCTGAGCTTCTCTCAATGTCCGTATATCCGCATTCCTGGCTCCTTTTCCCCTCCGTGCCCTGTGCCATTTGGTGCTTTACACAACCTTACACTGCTCCAAGTCTCTTATTGACATCTATGTTACACAATCACAATCTTTGCCCAGTCCTTCCTCATTCGTGGAGTTTTTGGAAAAGATTTTTCAGGCAGCCTGCCTCATGCTACAAACTGTCCAGTACTGCTGTTGGACACTGAACTCTGATCCATGTTGTTGAGCTGTGGTTTCTTCCCATTTACATGCCTCACATTTGTAATTTTTACCAAATTATACTTTAACTATACACATTTAATGGTGTGGAGATTGTGGTTTTATTTTTGCATACAGATATACATACTGTACTATTGGTCAATAAAAACAAAAAGTCTATAAATTTAAAAAAAATATATGTATTACACATATGAACAAGTCACTTACTTTCCAGTAATGTAAAGGCTCAGAATCTTTTATCAGTTACTTTGTTCAGAAAATTAGGAACCTCAAACCTGTACTATCAAGTCTCACCTCCAGCATGACAACGCATATCTGCTTGACACATTCAATGATGGACTGAGGAATGCCAGCTATGGTGATTGCACGCTCTGTTGAGTTGGGAAGCATATCTCCAGCCACTTGGACCTGAGCCCCTGTGCTCTGATGGCAAGGGAAGAACAAATGAAACAGTCAATCCAGCATTTCAGTTCAAGAGACTTCACAAAAGTTTAAAATCCACAGGCACTCTATTAAGAGGCAAGATCAGAATTAAAAACCATGGTCATAAAAAAAAAAAAAAAAAACCAAACCCATACCTCTCTAATCTCTTTAATTTTACAACCGCCTTTCCCAATTAGGGAGCCACACTGACTAGCAGGAACCACAAGACGCAGCGTCACAGGTGGTTTGCTGGATGCAGTACTATTTGTCATAGAGCTGCTAATATCCTACAAAATGGAAAAGAAACAGAAGTAAATGGCTTATCAAGTAAATGTTACAAGTCTGACTGACAACACATATATACATACACACAAAGGAAAACTCACTTCTTCCAGTTTTTCAATGATCATAGAGAATGCTTTAAAGATGGCGTTTGTAGGTCCCGCAAGAGTGATAATTCGTTCAGGGCAATTACCTTCCGAGATGTTTATCCGGGCCCCACTCTGAAAAGAAAATAGATCTAGGAGAACAGACACTTGTTTCTTTAACATTTAGGCAACACTGGAAGAGGTGGAAAACACAAAAGCAGTATTGCCTTATCACATTGACTAGAAGGGTTAAACCTACCTCCTCACGCATCTTTTTCACAGATTCTCCTTTCTTTCCAATTATACTTCCAACCTCCTACAAAGATGAAGATTAAAAAAAATATATATATATATATATTTTACCTTTATAAAAAAAAAAAAAAAACCCAAAGAAATTGCATTTAGTTGCCATGCACAAAACTACATTAATCTATTTCAACAGTTTCTAACTAGATTCCATTAATCTGATCTATTAATTTTGAAATGATGCAGAAAGATGTCCTAGATATGCAAAGAATTACAGCCCACTATACTGGTTATCGCACTAGGAGTGCCTTCGAACCATAAGTAGTCAAACCATTTTAGATAGTTGACAATTTACTTGTGCCACCTAGCTGCATTTGGTCTTTAGGTGAAGAAGCTGGAGAGAATTTTTTTTTTTTCCTACATTTTAAAATACCTATCATTAGAAGATATACTCCAAGAAAAAGAAAAAAAAGAAAAAAAGAGCATTATTCCATTGGGAGTATCCTCTAAAAACAGCTTGCAAAAGCTGCAGATCTCACCAGAAGCCAAACTTCATGACTGTCCAATCACAGACTTCCCAATGCAGCTCAATGAGAAGTCTTTGCAATGCAGGTGTTCTGGAGGCACTCTTCATACAAAACATTTCAGCATCTCTATGGTGAACATTCAGTAAACTTCAGTCCTGCAATCTTTAAAGTAGGGATCAACCGATATTGATTTTTAGAGCCAATACCGATTATCTGAACTTTCAGGCCGACAGCTCCCATGTCTAATTCTCGCGGCCTGCGTAACCCATGGCAACGCTCTGACGGCTGTGGGACTCAAGATTTAGATAGGGGGGCTGCTGGGAAGGTAAGTAAGTGCTTGCTGCGGGCCCAGCGGTCCTGGTACGTATTATCAGCAATATTGGTATCTCTATAGGCAGATACCATCTTGTTGAAAATACAGAATATCAACCAGGCTGATAATCGGTCAATCCCTATTTTAAAGGACTGAATACTTTAATCCCTCTAGTAGCAAGGAGAGGGAGTCACTAGAAGAGGTACCAACACTGCCTTTTCATTAAAGGACAGGCTCTATGCCGCAGAACAATTCCTTTAGTCTTTGAAAGAAATTGTTGTATATGCAGTCTATTCAAACACAATGTCCCACTCATTTGCCAAAGACAAAGCTAAATTACTGCTGCAGCAAAATAAGCAAGTTGCACGCTGCCTCAAGGTTCCTTAAACATAAAGCAGCTTGCCTTTAAAGCAGGGGTTCTCAGCGTTAGTCCTCAGGACCCCCTACCTGTCCAGGGTTTAGGGATTACCTGGGTGTGTCTAAGGTGTTTATATATATATAAAAAAACCCTTAGAGTCTAAGGTGTTTTTCCCCCCCCTTTTTCTAAACACCTTAGACACACCCAGGTAATCCCCAAATCCTGGACTGGTAGGGGGTCCCGATGACTGGGTTGAGACCCCTGCTTTAGAGTGTTCCATTGGCCACTTGGATTGAGCACTTACCTTGCCATGCATGAGCAGCCTGATTGTCAACGTAACATTTAATCCTCCTTCAATAACACCAGTGTCCATGGTGAGAAGAGTTCTTGCAGGTCAAGGTAATACGCAGAAGATGTACAAAGTAGTCAGATCTTTGGTCACAGGATAAGACGAGACTAGAACACAAACTGTAAATGAAATACCAAATTCCACAAATAAATTACTCTAGTGTGACCATCAGCACCAACATACCCTGCAGTGCTCAACAAATATACAGTGGTGATATAAATCCACAAGTAATGTGGATTGATAGAGAGCAATGCTAGAAAGAATTTACATTCCAAGAACAAGATAATAGGGCTTATCCAAAGGAACACTTTTAGATGTTGCTCTTGCACTAAAGTCTGGAGATATGGAACATTTATTAATTTAAGCTTAAGGTGCAATCTTGCAAAAGACAGGCATGGGACCTGTGGGTAGACAGACATCTACAATCCTAGGTAAAGTTTTCTGGCAAATCCTTGCTGATCAAATTGCTAAACTTGGATGTGCCTACACACCTAAAATATAAAGCTTTCCTAGAATTCAACATGCTATCCAATGTACACCCCAGGCAGGACATTTTTCAATCAAAATGGATTAGGTTAGACTTAGTATAGTAGTAATGAGAGAGTGGGAATTTTTTTTTTTTTTAGTAAGCACTCCCCCAATAAAAACATGCATTAAAAGGAGCACTGTAGTGTCAGGAAAACACTTGCTTTCCTGGCACTATAGGGTTATTAGGCCCCCCTCCCGCTGGGCTGAAGTGATTAAAACCCCTTTAGCCACTTACCTTAATCCAGTGCCGTGCTTCGGTACTGGTGACCTCTCCTTCCTCTGCCAATGTCAGCACCAAATGCTTACAGCTAAATTTACAGATGCAGGGGTAGAACTACAGGGGACCTAGCACTCAGACTACTTAATTGAGCTGATGTGGTCTGGGTGCCTATAGTGGTCCTTTAATTATCCATTTTTCATTGTGGATAAATGTAGAAACCACTTACAAAAGCTGCAGATCTCTTATGCAGTCTTTGTGAACCTTCCCCTTATTTATAAAACACCAACAAATTCCGCAGCGCTATACCCCTTCTAACCCAGCCCAGACTTTTTGGCTGTACAATGAGACTTCACAATGCAGCTCAATAAGTATTTGCAAGACAAGAGCTCTAAGCAACTGCCTGCCACTTGAGATAGGCATATGCCCAGAGCTCCTGCCACACTATACTCTTTACTCAGCATTTCAGCAAGCCAAAGGGCTTTACGAGTTTCAAGCACTCTTAAAATGCCATTATAATTAGGGATCAACCGATTATCGGTCTGGCCGATATTCAGTATTTTTGGCAATATCAGCCAACAGAGATACTGATATTGCCAATATATACCAAAACTGCCAGGCCCATTACAAGCCCGGCAGTCATAAGGGGGCCCACAGCAAGAGCTTACTTACCTTGCCAGCAGCTCCCAATGCAAATCTTGCGAGTACCGTACACGCAGGCCGCGAGATTTACACAGGGGAGCTGCTGGGAAGGTAAGTTAGCGCTTGCTGTTGGCCCCCACTGCACAGTCCATGCCACCGGACCACCAGGGAATGCCATATCTCCCCTCCCTGGCCAGCTAAAGCCAGCCTCTAACATGATCCTTCTCTACTGAATGTTACACTTTTAATTCTGCAGTTTCCTTAACTTCTTCAAACTTGCTAATCCCAGATCAATTTACGAGCACTACGTGCACTGGCTGACCCGAGTACCCACCAGCCTGTTGTAGCTAGCACATACCTTGTCAGGCATTCCCACCCACTTTATGAGCAGAGCAGACCAGACATGCTTATTGTAAACAGCCCCTTATAGAAATCAATCTGCACATCTTGCTTCCAAGGTGAGTTTTAATAACAGAAGCAATATGAAATATTAAAAAAAAACTATGCATTTATAGAAAATGCAGACTTAACACAATAGTGTTGGGAATACAAAGCTGTGACAATGAGAGGGTTAAACAATCCATTAAACACTCACCTTAGTCCAGCGCAAAGGTCCCTGAGCGCTAGCTCAATCATCAGCATGAGCGGGAATCCAATACGCATATATTCCTTGAGGGGGAGGGTTGCAACACACTGGACGTCCTCATGCAAAGTGTGAGGATGTCCAGCGTTATTTCAGAGAGTTAAACGGCGTGAAAAGCCAGTCTTAAACCCTTTAATGTAACCATGCAATGTTTTACATAGCAGGGTTAAGGGGACAGGGACACTGCACCCAGACTACAAAGATGAAGTGGTCTGGGTGCCTGTAGTGTCCCTTTACATTTTCCCAGATACATCTGTACAGTTTAAAGGACTATGAAAGTCAACCAGACCACTTCATCTAAATGAATGTCTGGGGCAGTGGTCCTCCATTTTAAACCTTCATGGAATATTTACCCTGAAGGGTTAAAAACATCTCTGGTGGCTGTCATGTTTTTGTACTAGAGGCGGTTCCACTGCAATAGTCAAGTGAATTTTGTCATATGATGTTGCAGCTCAAACCAACCATTTAATTCACTTCTTTCCTATGAGAAGCCCTGGGTGTGCGTAACACTTGCCACATTATGTGCATGATGTCCGAAGAAGCTCAGTGACAAGAAAACAATGCCTCCTCAGTGACATTGTGGAATGCAGAGAGGTCAGCTGCACCACGGGAGTCTTTGCATTAAAAAGAATTAAGTATAACGGTTTATGCAGGTTGTGGAGCACTAGTTATGGACTAGAATGCTATCGGATTTGCTTTAAAGGGTTACTCAAATCCAAGTGTTAATAAAGCACTGTTTTGTTAGTGCCATGCTCTTCCCGCATTCCAATCCCCGGTGATATCTCGTCTCCTTAGGGCGAATTTTACGCACAAAATTTACACTAAAATTAGCAGCATTTCCAGGTTGCAAAAAAAAAAAAACAAAAAAAAAACCACCTACCAGAGACGGGCTAACAGCAAAGTTAATTTATCTTTGTATGTACAAACAAGCACCATGACCCCATCAAATCAAAGTGGTCAAAGTGCTATTAAGTGGTGGCTCCTACTTTTCATTCAGTGTGTTTGGCTTTTTTCCCCCCCTCATTTACTTTCTGTAAACCGCATATAAAAATATTCAGAGAAATAAAAAAAAAAAAGTGTAAACTCTAATTCACCTTAATCCTATAGGTACATCATACCAAACACCACTTTCAGTCCACTACCACAAGTGGAGATACAAAATTGAATCCTCCAACATAAGCAATGCTATTTTATAAAGATTTTTGGGGAATTAAACCGAAAATTATTCTTTTGGTCAGCGACTAAAATTTCCCACTGCGATAGTTCTGGCCTACAATCTGCAATTCCAAATAAGTTTTTTTTTTTACTTTATAACCTAATTTCTTAACAAATCCCAAGATATTTTGCAAGATTTTTTACGATAGGACTTCCCAGTTTATATTTGGTCCATGGACAACAAATGCTCAAGAATTAGTATTATAATGGACATAAAGAGGAACTGTCACGTCACATGTTTTCTTATATCTTGCTTTCAGGACACCAACAGGTGAGTTTATAATTATCAGCAGGGAGTTAATGGGTTATTTATATCACCCTATACTACAAGACCGTTGAATGCTTCAATCTGATTGGTTGACAAACGTAGGTGTGCATTATTTTCAGGGAGCGCACGGCCGATCTCCCAACCCTGAAATCCTGCAGGGCTCCAACCATTTTCAATATTAATCTTCATGGTGCTTCACTAACCAGGAGCCAACATCAGTGCTGTACTCTTGCACATCCACAAAGGTACGACACTGATGTCTACAAGAGATCCCATGAGAGCTTCCATAAGTAGTTTCACGATGCAAGAGAATACTTTATTTCACAGCTACTGCCTGTGAAGGCTGGGGGAAGTGACAAAACCTGAGGGATCTAGCTCAGTCTTTTGTCAAGGCACACTTACTAAAAGCCAAAGTAGCCTCTACTTTGTCTTGTTTCTTTAAAGGACCACTATAGGCACCCAGACCACTTCAGCTTAAAGAGGTGGTCTGGGTGCCAGGTCCAGCTAGGGTTAACTTTTTTTATATAAACATAGTTTCAGAGAAACTGCTATGTTTATACATGGGTGAATCCAGCCTCTAGTGGCTGTCTCATTGACAGCCGCTAGAGGGCTTCTCACTGATTTTCACAGTGAGAAGACAGCAGCGTCCATAGGAAAGCATTGTGAATGCTTTCCTATGGACTGGCTGAATGCGCGTGCAGCTCCTGCCACGCATGCGCATTCAGTCGAAGAGGAGGAGAGCTCCCCGCCGGCGCTGGAGAAAGAGGTAAGTTTAACCCCTTCCTCACCCTAAAACCCGGCAGGAGAGGGACCCTGAGGGTGGGGGCACTCTCAAGGCAGTATAGTGCCAGGAAAACGAGTATGTTTTCCAGGCACTATAGTGGTCCTTTATGACTTTTAAACGTCAATGAAGCATAAGTCGTTATGACTTTCCTAAACAGATTTTATTTTTAAGAAATGCTTAAGTTTTCTATTCAGCGTGACAGAGGACACATCAGTTTCATTTAATGTGGCTCAGTCACAAACTTATCTTTTTACTATCATTTCATCTTTCAGAATTTGTTCTAGTACTCTTTAAATTCCGACAAAGTGGGGACTGCTTTGTCTTATTTTATTTTTTTTAAATGCCAATCTTGACATTAAATTAAAGGACCACTATAGGCACCCAGACCACTTCAGCTTCATGAAGTGGTCTGGGTGCCAGCTCCCCCAGGTTTTAACCCTTCACATGTAAACAGAGCAGTTTCAGAGAAACTGCTCTGTTTACATTCGGGTTAATCCAGCCTCTAGTGGCTGTCTCATTGACAGCCGCTAGAAGCGCTTCTCACTGAGAAAAACCACCAGCGTCCACATGAAAGCAATGAGAAATGCTTTCCTATGGACTGGTTGAAAACGCGGCTCTTGCCGTGCATTCAACCATTCATTCAGCCGATGACGCCGGAAGAGGGAGCCAGGCGCTGGAGAAAGGTAAGTGTTTAACCCCTTCCTCCCCCTAGCCCGGAAGGAGGGGGACCTATTAACACTATAGTGTCATGAAACGTGTTTTCCTGGCACTATAGTGGTCCTTTACGTTTGCCTTAGGCCCCACCCTTTTCTCACATTTGTCAAGCATAGAAAAAAAAAAAAAAAAACACAGAAGACAATAGTTCCTACGTTATGTTTTAAAGAGAACTAGAGCAGAAATAAAAACAGATTCTGAAAGAGGAAGATGTAACAATAGGAGAAATGTTTAAGGTGACCGCCACTTTCCAGTTAACACCATGCCAGGAAAGAATCAAACGGTGTCTCCTCAGCCGATATGTAGTGAAAGGAACAGGGCAACTTTAAATGTTGGAAGCAAATTAATGACAACGAGGAACAAAATTGTAAAACAAACATTTGAGTTTTATGGAGGGGGGGGGGCAGGATTTTTCTTAGAGGAACTCAAAAAAGATAAAAATGCTTGAGCAACACTTTTGTTGGGAATTCATATTTTAAAATTATGACCAAATTAGACATCTGTAAGCATGTTAGCTAGACGTTTTCCAGTTCAGCCATTAATTTGAAATTCAATATAAATTCCCAACAGTTTAATGAATAACCCTGTAAGAAGTCTACTGTGCAAATACATTAACTTACAAACCCAAATCAATTTATCAGGGCTGCAAATTTTGTATTTCTTTGCTACTTGCCAGGCCTAAGATTTACCCCACACTGTATGCTCACCGAGTGTGTACGTGCCAGAACTACAATTTCCATTTGCCAATGGTTAGTAGCAATTGGAAATGTTGAGCCCTGAACCCATGTTATAAGGAAGTATTTTAACAGTAAATTAACACTATTACAGTATCACGAAAACAAAGCGGTTTTCCTGACACTATAGTGCCCTGAGGGTGCGTTGGAGTTAAAACCCCTTCAGCAGCTTACCTTATTCCAGCGCCGGTGACCTCTCCTCCCCGTCCGACGTCAGGTCCCCCGAATGCGAACTATGGACGCGATGGATGCAAAATTTGCATCCAGCATCGCAGATGCGCCTCTAGTTTCTCTAAAAATGCTATGTTTGCATCTGAAGGGTTAAAACCTGAGGGACCTGGCACACAGACCACTTCATTGAGCTGAAGTGGTCTGGGTGACTATAGTGTCCCTTTAACATGTATATAGGGCCAACAGATTTTGCATCACTTTTCTTGCTGTAGTAAATTCTATCAGAAAAAGTGTAATTCACAAACATACTGGCATAGGCAAAAGAAGATGGCCTGCAAGACAAAACAATACAGGACGTTTTAAAAAGCACAAACTGATGTCTACTTCCATAACAATCAACTTATTGATCTTGGACTTGCCACACTAACATCTAACTCAAGACAAAATACTGGAGCAACACAATATTAGACATATATGAACTCTGTTTCGCTCTAAAAAATAATTCAATTTTAACAGATCAGGGGGAGTTGCATTTGGAGAGAAAACATTAAAGGACCACTATAGTGCCAAAAAAAAAAATAATCATGTTTTCCTGGCACTATAGTGCCCTGAGGGTGCCCCCGCCGGGCTCTGGGGAGAGGAAGGGGTTAAAATCGTACCTTTCTCCAGCGCCGGGCAGGGAGCTCTTCTCTCCAGCTGAATGCGCATGCGCAGCAGGAGCTGCACACGCAGCCAGTCTCATAGGAAAGTATTCATAAGGCTTTCCTATGGATGCTTGCGTCTTCTCGCTGTGCAAGTAAACGCTTCTAGCGGCTGTCAATGAGAGCCACTAGAGGCTGGATTAAACCATTTATAAACATAGTTTCTTTGAAACTGCTTTGTTTATTAAAAAAAAAAAAAATGGGTTAACCCTAGCTGAACCAGGCACCCAGACCACTTCATTAAACTGAAGTGGTCTGGGTGCCTAGAGTGGTCCTTTAACTGTACATCCAAGTAGGCTTTTCTAGGTCACAATTCTAAAAGGTCAATCTGAAAAAAATAAAGTGTTGGCAGCATAATCCACTTATGCTTATCTTAGATACCAACATAGCATCCTTGGCCAAAAATCTGAGTCTAAAAAGCCTGCTAAAATAAATTTTGCGGTGTGAGGATATGCTTATGCCATTAAAAAAAAAAAAAAAAAAACACAATAGAAGTGGATTAGACGCAAGTGTTTTAAACATTCAATTTAAAATAAATAAATATATAATTAATGCACACAGTATATTAACTTTTTTTAAATGGCTCATGTTGCCATGGTAATAAGATCACTAAAGTTAAATAAGCGGGCCTGCATTATTCTTAAAGAGAACATTCAGAGGTCATTGGGAACATCCCCCCTCTATGTTCTCTGGGTTTTTTGGGGGGGGTTCCATCAATCCAGGTGCTTTAGTGTGCCCTTTAACCATGCACGCAGGGCAGCCCAGTCACCTTCCAGGAGCAGGGCATGGCCGAGGCCCATGATGCAGAGGGGCGTGTGATGGCCACATGGAGCCGCCATGGAGGAGGAGGAGAGCTCCATTCAGCGATGGATGGGCTCCATATTTATCATCGCTGGGAGCGTGCTGGTCACGTGGCCAGGCTCCATCCTCCCGGGGAGGAGGGGGTTAACGCGGCTGCCATGGCCGCCTCACATGGTGGGAGCACCCAATACAATGAGCTCGGGCCTAGCCAGCCGCGGCAATAACAAAGCCTGACTGACCGGTCACTGTGCGCCGCTTACCTGCCAATTTACAAAGGACGACCGCCGTGAGGAGCGAGGGCGGGAAAACACCGAGTGAGAGACGGGGAAGGGAGGAGGAGAGAGGGGGAGGAAAAACAAGGGAGGAATGGGGAGGAAGGAGCGATCCGGAGGCGAGAGGCCCCGGGGAGGGAGGGAAGGAGAGAGCCGGGCGGGCGAGGAATGGCGACGGCGGGAGGGGCTGGCGGGAGCTGCGGCTTCTGCTGCTGCCTCTGCTGGTCTGGGAGGGGAGAGGAGGCGCTGGCCGCTATCAACACGCCCTCACCGGAAGTCATAGCCGGAACCACTGGCCGCCAGGGGGCGCTCTGACCGTACCACTGAGGGAGGAGGGGGGGGTGGGAAGCTCATATTATATATAGAATATAGATAGCTAGAGAGACCGTACCACTGAGTGACTGAGCGAGGGGGGGCTCATATTATATATAGAATATAGATAGATAGAGAGACCGTACCACTGAGTGACTGAGCGAGGGGGGCTCATATTATATATAGAATATAGATAGATAGAGAGACCGTACCACTGAGTGACTGAGCGAGGGGGGGCTCATATTATATATAGAATATAGATAGAGAGACCGTACCACTGAGTGACTGAGCGAGGGGGGGCTCATATTATATATAGAATATAGATAGATGAGTGACTGAGCTGAGGGGGGGCTCATATTATATATAGAATATAGATAGATAGAGAGACCGTACCACTGAGTGACTGAGCGAGGGGGGCTCATATTATATATAGAATATAGATAGATAGAGAGACCGTACCACTGAGTGACTGAGCGAGGGGGGGCTCATATTATATATAGAATATAGATAGAGAGACCGTACCACTGAGTGACTGAGCGAGGGGGGGCTCATATTATATATAGAATATAGATAGATAGAGAGACCGTACCACTGAGTGACTGAGCGAGGGGGGCTCATATTATATATAGAATATAGATAGATAGAGAGACCGTACCACTGAGTGACTGAGGAGGGGGGGCTCATATTATATATAGAATATAGATAGATAGAGAGACCGTACCACTGAGTGACCGAGGGGGGGGCTCATGACATATATATATATCATGTATAACAGGCGCCTTATTATATACTATCGGAGCCATAGAAACGGGGCTCCCCCAACGGCCGATAGACTGCCACTCCCCGCACGCTGAGCATGCCGGGACTTGTAGTGTAACAGCCGCTGAGGGAGCACGGCTTCTGAGAGCACTAAGAGTCCGAAACGCGCGAGGCCGATCTGCAAATAAACAGAAAAATAACGGGAAAGCGGCTGACATTTTACTACACCCATTTTTCAATCAGACATTCGGAGGAAGTGGCGTAGAAGCCAAATGTTGGGTGTACAAATATGGCGACGTTATGACATAAAACGATTAATAATTCCAACGTGGTTTTTTTTTTTGTTAGTTGTTTTTTTTTGTTAGTTTTTTTTGCCGCGAAACAAATCGAGCAAGCCTACTCAGCAATCGGTTGTATTTAGCGTGCGGACTATGGCAGCGGCGCGCGGCTTGCAGTGTGCTAAGATGGCTGACGGGAAGGGGGTGAGGAGACTGCGAAGGACGCGCTGAGTAAGACAAAATGGCTGCCGCAACACTTCCGGCGTCAATTAGCATCTATAGGAGGATGGTTCAAGATGGCGGAACGAGGCTAATAAATACATTGTGGGAATGGCTTTACTTTGACCGTGATTTTGGAGGAGTAAAAGACACACCAGCTCCAGTAATTTGTAGTACTAGTATTTCCCTGGGATAAAATATATTTGGGAGCAAGTTAAATTGTAATTAGGATTCTCATATGTAAATGCAAGAATCTCAGCTCAGAGTTTACAGATCTGTTGTATTAATATCGCAAGTTGGGAAATTATTTGAAGGACTTTTAAGGGATAACATAGGAATTTGTTGTGAATGGACATCCGTATGAATTAGACATAATCTGGTCTTTCATCAAACCAAACTATCTGAATTGCATTCTACGGAGATGTCCATTGTACGGCGCTACGGAATCTGATGGCACTATATAAATAATAATAATGTGACTCGCTCTGCTTGAAAGATGCGGCGGCGTAAAAAAATGGCGCAATAATGGCTAACATCGTCAGGAACATACACAGCATGGGAAACTGGCATAAAAAGAGCAAATAAGTCTGGGAGCATGCACAGTGGCCGCTCACTGTTTAGTAGTCGTGCAAGTAGGGGCATTCGGGAGATTTTAATCTCCCTTATGCTATTATGGGGGTCATATTAGCCCCCATAGAGTGAGGGGGACTTAAGAAGTGGCGAGGAGCACTGCTCTCTAACGCTTCTATTTTTACAAATTACAAGGAGGAAGCTGCATGCCGGTAGCTTCTTCCTTGTAATAAACCGAACGAAGCTGTCTTCGTTCATTCATTTGAAATTTCTATTTATTTATTCGCCTTTCTGAAGAATGAATGAATAGATGAAATTCCTGTTCGCATGCCCAAGTGTTTAACTGGGCATGCACGGGAATTTCACAGCGCTATCTAGTGTAGGTAGATGACGTGTCCCACAGAGACTTCATCTACCCACACAAAGATGGCAGCGCCCAGGACCTATGTCCAGGCACAAAATAAAGATGCAAAAATAGGTAAGATGGGGGGCTTAGGGGCAATTTGGGGGTGACTAGGGGGACAATTGGTTGTAGTGGAGTCAGGAGAGGATTAAAAAAAAGAACAGGATTCGGCCATGACAGGGACACTTTAAGAGGAAAGAGGGGAAAATCGGTTCCAGAAGATGCAGCAACTTTATGAATTAAATGTATTATTTGCCATTACCATGACTTAAACCATATTTTCTTTCTTGCTGGGGAAAAACATCCACTGAAAGTGATAAATTTAATTCATACATCAGCCAGTGAGCCAAAGACTGTTTCTTGTTACTTGTAATGTCTCAGACCCCAGATATGTTTTCTACTTTTATTTTAATCTTAGTTAGACTAAGATAGATAGCCTGTCTAGTAGGACCCTACTACTGGTCTCTCTAATTATAGGACTTGTGACAAAATGGGTTTTGTTTACACTTGGAATACTGCTTCACTATCTAGTAAATGTGGATTGGTATCTTGGTTTCTTTCTTATCAAAAAAGCATTTTTTTTCTGGTGTCACAGCTGAGATACACCATCTACTAAATATAATTTTTTTTTTTTTTTTTTATTTTTTCAGTGCAAATATACATTACAGGCTGGCGAGAGGTGCCCCAAAAGCAGTCCTCTGGCTTTTCCCCGCTCTTAACATGCGGGGCACATGGATAACAGGCACAATTTGTAAACAGGCTTAAACAGTTGGATTTAAACGTAGATTGTGATTACAAGTTAGAAACTTGCTAGAGCTTCAAGAGTTAAAACAGTACTTTTGGTATCAATATAAATTTTTATGTTAATAACTCAAGAGGGACTCTTTGCAGCACCATCTAACTTTCAGCATAGTCGTCTTAGTAACATCTATACAGCTTAACGTGTGCTAAGTGTGAAAGTGTAGGTGAGACATGTTTGATAACAGAGTTGATAGCAGATTTATGACTCTGCTTGTACGTAGGTTGCTGATTTACACGCATTCCATGCCTGTCTTATGCGTTATAATTACAGAGTATGAGAACATGGAGCGTTAATTGGGCATGCATGGCTACATACGACTAAACTAAAAAACTTTTCTGATAAGGCTCGATTGATCTAGGAGTCAGGGCAACCTGTAAGCTGCCAGACACATAGGCTATTTGGTATGACATTGACCAGTAACAGGCTATCTAAAAACACAGCTATTAGAAGACATAAGATTATCATGCAGGTATCTGTAATATATGCAGTGAGCATTGACGTTTGAGCAGTACCAAGCAATAAAGTTCAGCATTGAACAGCTATCTCGGCTTAAAGAGTCGCAGAGTGGACCAGCCAGGGTTCATTATGGCAGAGGTGCCAAACAGTGTTCCCCGTGCTTTCCTGCGGAGTAAGTCCTTCTTTATCCTATACTCAGCAGGGGTAAGTGTGTAGGAGAGGCATGGGGGTCTCGCAGAGGTAAGTCCAGCTGTGGTGGGAACGTTTGTTCATTGCTGTGGGTACCTGAGATCACTGTGCAGGTATGTGGTGTGCTTGTCTGGGACTCTATAGTTCCCCTTGGCTGTGTCGTGCTCCGGCACCACGTGAGGGTCTGCCATTCACTGGTCGCTGAGCGGTGCTTGATGTCATGTGGGAGTGACCTGGATTCTGTAGGTCCTCTCGGTGAGGTATCGCCGCTCTGTATAAACGCTTCCTGGCAGACGGGAGATGTCTCCGTCTTCGGCGCCATTTTGGTTTGTTGACTGTTGAGCGGGGGTTTAGCTCGGCTGTGGCGGATACCTGTGGGACATTCTCTGGGTAGGTTCCTTCGTGCTTTTGCCTGCCGCTCTCTGGTTTCTAGTTTCGCCAAAAAGGTGTAGAGGATTGCGGTCAGTCTTGTCATCGTGGCAGTCTCCCCTCCGCAGCCGTCATGGCCGCACATGGTGTCCTCCATTGTGTGGGCCTTTTGAGCTGGGGGTTGCCTGTAGGGCTCCGCCATCCGTGTCAGCCGTGGCTCCTGCGTCTGGCAGGGTTGGACCGGGATCACCCCCACCGATCCGAAGGGAGGGAGCGGGCCATCGGTGACTCAGCGTTCCCGGCGTAGAGGCGAGGAGAGCGGCCGCCTCCCCCCATCCACCATAGGCCGCAGCGGGCCACCTCCGTTACACGCTTGCGCTAAATACCGGTGTCAGTCGATTCGCCAGAGTGCCCTCAACCTGGGCAACGTATTCCGGCATCAAGGTAAGCATCGGATCTGTGGAAATTTCCCTGAAATCAGCAATGGCTTTGGGAGCTCCTCTGCCATGCGACTACTCCATTTGCAGGTCAGGCCCCGCCCCCTACTAAATATAATCTTGGCATATATTTTCTGCAGTGCCTGAAACAATTGAATGTAATTTGGGAAAAATAACAAGCAAAAGGAAAGCAGTATGCAAGTACCCCTCTACATACAGGTTAGAATATGCGAAGTTAGAATATGCAAATGCTTGTCAAAATACGATTACACTTTTAAAAAAAGGTTCTGTCGGAATATTGTAATAGTTCATCATTTTGCATCTATATAATTTGGTTACCAAAATATTACTCCACGTTTATACTTCTCTGCTAAACTAATTGTATTAGCGGAGTCTCTGATTTACACAATTTCTAATTGTATAGAAAACAGCAACACATGGGACAATCATACTGCAGTAATTACTATGCTTCTTTTATGGGCTCTCTGACAACAGGTGGCTTCACAATAAAATGGTTATGCATGTTTGGTCACAAAAATAAACTCCCTGGGATCCAGTTAATAGATACCCTACCTATCCTAACATTTTCACTTTACCATTCATTCTCTCCCTCACCTTGTCATTACAGAATTCACTTTTCCTATCTTTACATTCTTTCTTGTTAGGATTTGGATCAAACTAACTAACTAACTGAACAGGGTGCAGTGCCTGATTAAAAAAATAAATGGAACCCAGACATACCACCAATGATTGCCTACTTTGACACCCTAAATACATTTTACTTAGTAGTAGTGTGGCAACTACTATTCAATATGCACAAAGTGGCATTTGCTTAACCCCTTAAGGACACATGACATGTCATGATTCCCTTTTATTCCAGAAGTTTGGTCCTTAAGGGGTTAAAGGACCACTATAGTGCCAGGAAAACATACTCGTTTTCCTGGCACAATAGTGCCCTGAGAGTGCCCCCACCCTCAGGGACCCCCTACCGCCCGGCTCTGGAAGGGGGAAAGGGGTTTAAACTTACCTTTTTCCAGCGCTGGGCGGAGAGCTCTCCTCCTCCAATCCTCCTCTTCTCCTCCCCGTCGGCTGAATGCGCACGCGTGGCAAGAGCTGCGCACGCATTCAGCCAGTCACATAGGAAAGCATTCATAATGCTTTCCTATGGACGCTGGCGTGCTCTCACTGTGAAAATCAGTGAGAAGCACGCAAGCGCCTCTAGTGGCTGTCAATGAGACAGCCACTAGAGGAAATAGGGGAAGGCTTAACCCATTCATAAACATAGCAGTTTCTCTGAAACTGCTATGTTTATGAAAAAATGGGTTAACCCTAGCTGCACCAGGCACCCAGACCACTTCATTGAGCTGAAGTGGTCTGGGTGCCTAGAGTGGTCCTTTAAATTTCTTATCCATAGTGCCTCTAGACCAAGGTGGACCACTCCTAGTGAATCAATATTGGTGAAAAAAAGTCAGACTGGTAATATACAGGTAGTGGTTGACAGATTTTATTTGAAATCCATACAATGTTTCGGCTCCCATGGGAGCCTTTCTCAAGCGTGAGAAAAACTCTTCTGGGAGTCGAAATGTCAAACTATGTGTACTTACACTGAGCAAAATTATTTTGTTTTTGCCCCCATTTTTCATGAGCTGAACTCAAAGATCTAAGACTTTTTCTATGTACACAAAAGGCCTATTTCTCTCAAATATTGTTCACAAATCAGTCTAAATCTGTGTTAGTGAGAACTTCTCCTTTCCTGATATAATCCATCCACCTCACAGGTGTGGCATATCAAGATGCTAATTAGACAGCATAATTAATGCAAAGGTGTGCCTTAGGCTGGCCACAATAAGACGTTTTCTCATTTTCAGAATGTGTTTTGAGAAATGTTTGAAATTTTTAAATGGTTTTGGTGTGTATCAAGATATACTGTAATCAAACATAGATATCGATTTAATATTTTTAGATAAGCCTTTTAAATTATTTAATTGTGACAAATGGCTTATTTGCCCTATTTCCCTTTCTCCATTTGAGAACTTGCAGCCCCATTTTGCTACCTTCACTAGCAACGGAATGCACGCAGACAAAGAACTAGAGTGTATGTAGTTCATAATGCCAGGGCAGACATATGATCTCAGGATAGTGTTATATTGTAGATCCGTATTCTACCATATAGTAACATGTAGGATTACAAGTGGGAAATGAAACAGCTATGCTAGTTATTGTAAAGTGCTGCAGAATAAGTTGGCTCTACATAAATACCAATAATTATAATAATAGTGCATGTGTAATGTGTTCAGTAACTCTTTGTCTCAGATGGCCTCAATTCGAGGCCATTCTGTCTGATGGGATTAGGAAATGTACCTTGCAAGCCATTGCACACTGTTTAACCAGCACAGTGGGAGGTGGGACTGGGTCAACAGTGTCACATCCTGCCTATTCTAAGCATAAAGTAAGATGGTCAAGGAGACCCATGGTGTTGCATCCATTTCCCCACTGTAATTACTGTACCTACATACTCCTCCATGTATTATGCAAACAAGTGTGTCATGCCTGTAAATGTTGAAAAAGCTGTGTGCTCATACAATAAAACCCCAGTTCATTGAAGTTCACTTTTACGTTAAGAATGAGTTTGCTTGTCTCTTTCTTTGCTGTAACTATCTATGATCTGCTATAGTGCAATCGCTCATAGGGGAATCGCTAGCTGTTTTTAGTTAGTTTCCAGTAATACCCAGAGCAACTCTGCATTGTATACTTCTTTGCTGAGGGATTAGCAACTCAAGTACCAGCATCCTAGTGCTCAAGGTAGAAATTTGCACAGCTGATGCAAGGTCTGAACTGTTACGCCTTTGGTAACAGAAGCCAGGACTGTATCGCTTCCAACTGTATCTCCAGCGCGCAGAGAAGCTGTGTTTTTTCAAAATATTACATTAATATAATAATTATATTTTTATTCATATTATTATATAATATTAAAATTATTATGTATATATATTATACAAGTTTATCCCAAAAATACAAGGCCATAATTCTTATCTAGTATTCATTTTGCAGTTATAAGGATTAAGTATTTTAATCAATAACATTTCAAAATTTTAAGTACTAGATCTTTCTTGAGTCATTTTATTATCATGAAACATTGTTTGCATTTGAGTAGAAAAATTACATACATGGCTGGATAACTTGTTCATGGACCACACCACACCGCAAAAGAAGTAAAGGCCGAAATCCATGTCATAGGAATAAGCTCTACATCAGTGGAGAGGCGCATGAAGCACATGGTCACGGCCCACAACTGTGCTGCAACCCTCACTAACAAGCTGCTACATAGATCCAACAGATCACGGAAGAACAATCTCTGTGTAAGAGGCCTGCCAGAAATAGTAGGAGAAGCAGACATAGAAACTGGCCTTGTAATCTGCTTCCAACAAAGCTTGCCAGATATCCCTGACCATCTATGGGGTGTCCTCAGAGCCAGAGGCCCGAAAAACAGCCCACCCAGGGTTGTAATAATGAAATGGCACTACTTCAAGACAAAGGAGGCCATATTGAAATACAGCAGGACACAGGCCTACACACACAACGGGATGGAAGTGCAGCTGTTTCAAGATGTCTCCCCAACCACTCTCCTCCGCAGGCGGGAATGAAAACCAGGGACAAAAGATAATGTGACTATTTATGCTGACCGACCCCGGGCTGGGGAGAGGGATGGCCCAAGAGTAACACTTGAGTACTACAGGTAGCCCGAGGAATAGATAGTCACCCCCGCCCACAATTGAACACTAGATGGCAGTCCAACTGCCAGCGACACACAGACCAGAATGAGCACTGTAACTGCCCTCATGCGGACTGACCCCCCCCCCCTCGGGAAGTGGCTGGCTGGGGACTGCCCTGGGGCTGGCAGGCATCTCCGGGTACCCCTCCTTGCCCTCGGGTGCTCCTAGGCAGACACGCGTACCCCAAGAGCCTCTGTTACAGACCAAAAAGAGATACCCGATGGTTATGGGCAGCACCCCTTCTCCAGGGAAACATACACAACGCTGGTTCCCACAAGTCGAGATGTGCACCCCCACCAGAGAACCGGTCCCCCTCTATACAGGAAGTAACAGTTCATAGCCCCCGCTCCCCCATGAAAGTACATAAGAGCACTGACACCATGAACAAAAAAACTAACAAGAGAACACCGATAACTAAAAAGACAAAGCAAAGGGCACCAAGTCCAGACCCCCATAAGCAAAAACAAGCTCCGTGACACGGACCCCACAGAGGAGTACAAGATCACAATAGGCTGAAACCACTTACCCCCACAGTTACGTTACAATGGCTGAGCCTCCACTCCCCTCCCCCCGCACAAGTTCATCACCTCGGCGCGGTGGATGCCCACCCCCGACAGGCCTGGCAGTGGATAAGACCCGGAAACCTTGGTAACACAGATCTTTGTGTAAAGCGAATACATTTTATTGAATTATATTTTATTAATAATGTATTGACACACAAGCGTTGCCCCGTTCAAATAACTTGAGTACAAAGGGACAGAGACGAACAATATGTTGCCCTCATGGGAACTATCAATTCCAACACCTATCACCTATTCAACGTATACGCCCCTAAAACACCCAACAAAACGTTCTGGATGAACCTAGAGGCCTTAATAACAGTACTAACCAGAGGTATAATGCTTTTGGGGGGAGACTTTAATGCCATGCCCGGTGATTGACCATGGAGGAGGGTGAACCTCCCCAGATCGGGGGGACAAGATAAACTTCTAAATCAGTTTGTACAAAACACTGGGCTGCTGGATCCTATACATAAGGATTATACATTCTACTCAGCAGCACATACCACTTACTCCTGCATCAACCTATTTCTCACCAACCAGATTGGTATGCGGTGGATCAAAACAGCTATAATCAACCTAATTTCCTGGTCCGACCCCGCAGATATATAACTGACTATACGAATCCTGGGAACACACCCTCCATGGCGATGGATACTAAATAACTCCCTCCTTAGAGACACACTGGCTGAATGTAGACATGCCACACATGGACAGGGTTATACAAAAAAATTAAAGAGGCACACTTAATGGACAAACTCACAACTTAAGTACGAGACACACACTCAGCATTCACTAAAATTTGGCAACCATGGGAGGACTACGACGGCCGATGAGACTGCGGAGTTGGCGGGTTTCGCTGCCCCGGCTGGAGACCAACACTTCTCCCTCTCCCCCCCTTTTTTTTTCTCTCTCTCCCTCTCCTCTCTCTCCTTTTTCTTGTCCTCGCGTTACTCACTTTACTTTCTGCTCTAAAAAAACAAAGTTCATGTCTATATATAGAGCCTATGAGACAATCAACACCAGAGAGCATCGAGAAACTGTACTGCTCACTCCTTCACTAGCTAAGCTGCAGGGCACAAGATGCACGATTCCACAAGCTAAAGTACACATTACATACGTATACGTGCAAACTACACAGGTACACCATACCTGCCAACCTTATCTCATGACAGCTACTGTATCACAAAAGTAAATATGTCAGATGAACCTGCTTGATATCCAATGTGAAACTCGCTGAACCTCCACACCTGTGACACCGCATTGTAATGCATTGTATGGTATACCTGTTGACTGTCTTGACCTCTATACAAATATGTAACTTTATCCAAAACTAGGTGCCCTGTACAGAAACAAATCCTGCCTAAGCCCTACAGTAAAGGAAAAGATTGTACAGCAAATGCTGATGCCAATCATTGATTATGGGAATGTAGTATATGCACCTGCACCGCAAACCCACCTTAATAAACTCAATACATTGTATAACTCGTTCTGCCACTTAGTGCTACAATGTAATTACATGACCCACCACTGTGACATGCTAAAGGAACTAAACTGGCTGTCGCTGGAATCCAGACGCACCCTTCATCTTTACAGCCTTGTGTTTAAGAGCTTTTCTGGCAGGCTCCCACCCTACCTGAGCAAAATGCTCTCCCTGGCTATTCCCACCTCCTATAACCTCCGATCCAGTACCAGCACTTTATTTAGTCTACCTCAATACAAAAAGAAAGCTTCTCAATCCTTCTTTTCCTACAGAGCACCGTAATTATGTAACTACCTCCCGCACACTTTCAAATCTTCCCCAGGCCTAAAATCCTTTAACAGATCCCTCTCTGCATTTCTGAAAACATAATGCACCTGTCATGGTTGATTATATATTTCCTACTTGTTCTATGTTAAATTTTGTATATATTGTGTATTAATATTGGTTTTTATTGTACCCTATTGTACAAGTATGTGGACCCAGGACATACTTGAAAACGAGAGAAATCTTAATGTATCTTTCCAGGTAAAATATTTTATAAATAAATAAAATACATGAACTAATAAACAAAGAATTAAAAAAAATTATATGGAAAATACATTAAGATTTTTTTCCCCAACAGGGTTGATACAGAAAATACTTATTTTTCATCCCATGTGTTTTAACTGTGTTAAAAGTGTCTTTATTTCTCTTTCTCTAAAAAGAGGATTTTTTTTTTACCAATAGGTGAAGAAAGAATTCATTTAACCCCTCAAGGACCAAACTTCTGGAATAAAAGGGAATAATGACATGTCACACATGTCATGTGTCCTTAAGGGGTTAAATAAGTAAAAGTAAAAAAAGTAAATGTAGGCAACACAAATATAAAAGCTTATCACAAACAATGCAGATGTCAGGAAGTAGTTCCTTATTGTACTTGCATGTAGCCTTGTCTGTAAAAAGAACAATTTAAAATATATACCTGTATATATACAACAAATATGAGTTTTCAGCTGAATCTTAGCAAGACAGATAAAAAACAACCATAGCGTAACAATGTTACAATATAATTTGGACATGTATTGCACTCACAAGATGGCTTGATGTTTTGAAAGGTGCCTCCCCTCAATATTTCCGCCGACTATCAGTGCTCCATTTCTCTCGCTGCAATTTACCAAAGATTTGTGAGTTGGTTCAGGTACAAAACTATGTATTGAAAAAACCCAAAGTATGAAAAAACTTTAGGTCCTGCACATACCAAATCCAAATCAACATTCAGACCTTGTGGTTCTAAGGTATCTAATTTGTGAATTCATTAAGATTCCCTCTGTGCTAGTCTCCATTCCCTGTACCCTCTCCTCCAGTGTGCATCTATAGTTTCAATACCCTGAAACTAAGGTCCACAAGTTTGAATTTAGAACACTGGTTATAGTGGACTGGAATCGAATGCAATCTGAAATTCTTTTTGATATTGTCATGTTTTAGTACGCTTTGTTTTATTTTTCTCTGAGTCAGACCCACATATTGTTTGCCACATGCCCCAACTGATAAGATACATTATGTACTCTGAATTACATGTTTTTTGAGATATACAGTCTCTGTCTAAACACATAATTATATTGTAACATTGTTACACTGTGGTTGTTTTTTATATGTCTTTCTAAGATACAGCTGAAAACTCATTCTTCTTGTACATATATTTTTCTAAGTAGGGTTTTTGAAGGAGGAACCCAAGGGTAGCTGCCACGGGGCTTATAAAGTCAAGTCAAAAGTTAAGTATCTTAACTGGTGGCTATTTTGTTTTTATATTAATTTAAAAAAATAAAAATTTAGATTATATATATATATATATATATATATATACAGTATCTCCCCTCACATTTTTGTAAATATTTTATTATATCTCATGTGACAACACTGAAGAAATTGAAAATTATGCTAGCTTTAGTGTACTAATAATCTTAATTTTAATAAAGACAGGAGGCATAACTCTCTTTACTAAACTCCATAGCATTAAAGAAAAGGATAGTAAGAACCAATCAAAAAACAGTAGGAGGTATGGTATTCCCAGTGAACAGGCTCCTCCCCCTCTTTCTACTAGCAACATCGCAGACGGACAAAGTTCAAACAATTAAGAATCAAAACCAGTCTTGGGTCTGAACCGTAGAGTCAATCCAAGCGAATCGGTATAATCCATGTGGAGTGAAGGGTAAATTTGGGTAATCCGTATAACAGGAGATTCAATCCAAATGATTTAGGATAAATTTGGGATGATCCACATAGATATAACCAGAATTCCATGTTGAGTTACGCTGAAACGAGAATGTGGAATAGGTTAGGTACTAGTAGTAAGACCATGAAAAACATGGGAATCATCTGAATAGCATATTTTCGTAAGATTATAGTATTATAGTGACAAAACATTAGTAATAGGTACCACTCTCTCTAAAGTATAACAAGGTATAATAATCCTGACATGTGAGATATACACTATATACGTTAGATAGTCGGAATGGTGAGGATAGAGTAGAGACTAGTTTCCTATACAAGGATAGAGGAATTAGAAGAAGGAACAGTATAGAGATACCAGAAGACTGAAAGGGTGGGTATGGGTGGGAAATTACTCGTCTCCTGTCTTTATTAAAATTAAGATTATTAGTACACTAAAGCTAGAATAATCTTCAATTTTATTACATGACAGGAGGCTTCATATTTTGCATTTTTAACGCTGATGTAACAAAGAAAACGCCGCGCAGGAGTTCGGTCTAAAGTAGAGGGTTCGAAAAGTGGATTCACGTGACCAGCCGGCCGTGCGTAGAACATCTGATAGTGATGCTCCGGCTGCGTAGGCCAAAAAAGCAGCCGCGCCTCTCACCGAATGAGCCCCGAAAGTGGCATCCAGTGACAAGATCCAGCGTACCCATCTAGCGAGAGTGGTAGAGGAAACTGGATTGTGGGGTTTGACGTAGGAAATCATTAGTTGACCGGAGGGAGTCGGGCGAAGAGAGGCGGTAGCCGTCACGTAGCTGCGTAAGGTTGCTACCACGCATAATTGGGGTTCCGCGACGAAGAAGGGGTAAAATATGGTGGTGGAGTTCGATTTTGTCCGTCGGAAGACATGGAAGGTGACCCCTTCAGGATCTATCGAAAAGGCGTTGACTTCGAAGGCCTTACCATCGGATACCCGACAAAAGGAAACTAAACAAAGTAACATCGTCATTTTTGCAGAAAGTTGGCGAAGCGAGAGTCTGTCGTTAGGTGGCCATTCTCTTAAGAAGGTGAGGACGAGGTCCACATCCCATAGGTGGGTGTATTTGGGGGCCGGAGGCCGTTTTAGTCGCATGCCCCTCAGTAGTCGACATACCATAAGATCCTTACCCGCCGGAATCCCTTTGATAGGTGTATGTGCTGCTGAGATCGCTGAACGAACTACGTTAATACAAAAGCAAAGAACAAGGCTGCGCCAGAATGATTAAAACAAGTCCCGATAAAAGGATAAAATGTTCAAATAAAAAAATGTTCAGATAAAAAAAGTCCCAATAGTGGATGGTGTCTTAACTGATATGATGTCTTCCTTTTTTTGGTAGTGGTCGTCCATCTCACGATATGAAAGACACAATGGGAGAGAGCCAATTGTGCAGAGTGTATAAATAAATAGTGAAAATTAAAATATAAATTACACACTCACATTTCCATGAGCTAGGACTAGCTCTAGTATGATGGGCATACGGCGGATAACCCTCCGCTTATAGGGGTGCTTGTCCTCCTGGAGAGTCCTTGTGTCCAATTCTCAAGGAAAGAAAATAAAAACAGCCAATAGTGCTCTCTGGTGAGGTAGTTAGTAGAAAGATAAAAAGTAAATAAAATATACTCACAAGTGGAGTGCAGGTCAATCTGCACTCTATTTTTCGCGTGGGTGGTATAATCCCCACCTTAGGATATGCCAGGAACAATAAATGAGGTTAAAAGTAATAATAAATATAAAATTATTTATTAGTACAATATATTTAAAACCAATAACGCGTTTCGCCGTAGAGGCTTTATCATATTAGTATATTCCAATTTGATAAAGCCTCTACGGCGAAACGCGTTATTGGTTTTAAATATATTGTACTAATAAATAATTTTATATTTATTATTACTTTTAACCTCATTTATTGTTCCTGGCATATCCTAAGGTGGGGATTATACCACCCACGCGAAAAATAGAGTGCAGATTGACCTGCACTCCACTTGTGAGTATATTTTATTTACTTTTTATCTTTCTACTAACTACCTCACCAGAGAGCACTATTGGCTGTTTTTATTTTCTTTCCTTGAGAATTGGACACCAGGACTCTCCAGGAGGACAAGCACCCCTATAAGCGGAGGGTTATCCGCCGTATGCCCATCATACTAGAGCTAGTCCTAGCTTATGGAAATGTGAGTGTGTAATTTATATTTTAATTTTCACTATT